GGAGTCTAATCTCTGAGGTTTAGTTAGAGATTGTTACAGCTACTGTTAGTTCCCAATGTTTGCGTGTCGGTGGTCCAGAATAGCTGCTACAACCTTGCAATGCGGGTCTTTGAGCTTCGAGGGTCGTTGAGTGCAGCTATGCTACTCCCGTGAAGCTACATGTACCTGAAGACAAGACCATGTTGTGGTGCATACAATATGTATCCTTTGTCTCAATAGGATCCACTCAATGCGGCCATGAATTGGATCCAGTCTCATGCTGCCGTACCGTACCGTACCTGGATGATCATGAGAGCACCTCCGATTTGTGCCTCAGCGAAAAAATCTACAGTGTATCCGACAGAGCCGATTTGGGGCATTCAATCGAGAAGAAACGGCAAGGTGTGCTTTCTGCGAACTGACGTCAGTGTCTCCTCCAACCAGCCACACATCAATCTAGCAATCGGTTGGCAATTATTATTTCCAATGATAGTTCGATTATTCTCCATGGGCATAGTAATGTGTAATATAACAATGAGACATGACGCTGATTAAATAATTCCTGTCGGAGAGATGGTTCAGAGCCGCCCTTGGTTGGTTCCTGTGTGTTGTTGACATAGATCGGGACAAACGAAATCCAGAGAAAAGATAGATGAAACCTTCGACCATGATAATGCGACTTGTGCTACCGTTCCTGGCTCTGCTGTCCTGCACCGATGCCTTTGTCCCTCGCGCTCCGTTGTCGCCAATAAGGACATCGATCGATGCAACAGTCGCGGAAGATGTAGCGGATCTGGACCAGGAATCCATCACCAAAAAGACTCCCATTATCCTGCTGGCAGGTTTCCTAGGGACAGGCAAGACCACAACGCTAAAGCATTTGTTGGAGAACACAGAGGGGTCAAGGATTGGCGTCATTGTGAATGATGTTGCCTCGGTGAATATTGATGCCAAGCTGGTTTCGTCCATGCCCGAGTCTGCTTCGGAAGATATGATTGAGCTTCAGAATGGATGCGCCTGTTGCAGCCTCTCGGATGAATTATTCACCAGTGTCGAGACATTATTCCAGCCCAAACGCAGTGGAATTCTGCGTCGCAAAAAGGCCCGTGAATACGACGCCATTGTGGTCGAGTTGAGTGGAGTGGCAGATCCCCAGGCCGTACGGGCCACCTGGACTGCAGCCGCTGGATCGGATCGATTTCCCGCCACTGAAATGGCGGAAATTTCCAAAATTGTCACCATGATTGATTCCTGTACCTTTGCAACCGATTATATGACGTGGGATGCCGTAGCGCAGCGTCCTGGATGGGCCGAACCGGGAGATGATTGTGCCGGTAATCGAAAGGTGGCAGAATTGTTGGCCGAACAGGTCGAAGCTGCCAATCTGATTCTCGTCAATAAAATTGACATGGCCACGGAGGAAGAAGTCGAAGTTTCCAGCAAGGTGGCCCGTGCATTGAATGAAAAGGCAACTCTACACAATGTGGCCTTTGGAAAGATTAGCCCCAGTGAAATTCTGGAATTGGGTACCACAGATCTACTAGTCGACTTCAAGGAAGAAAAAGACGAGGCAGCAGCAGAAACGTCTGGACACAGTCATGGCCATGATCATGCTTGCGAAGAGCCTGGTTGCACAGATGAAAGCCATGACATAGCCACGATAGCCATGCTTGCGAAGAGCCTGGTTGCACCGATGAAAGCCACGATCATAGCCACGATAGCCACAGCCACGACCATGCTTGCGAAGATCCGGGATGCACCGATGAAAGCCATGATCATAGCCACAACCACGACCATGCTTGCGAAGAACCGGGATGTACTGATGAAAGCCATGATCATTCCCACGAATCAGGAGATGCCTGCATTGATCCTGGTTGTACAGACACTAGCCACTCTCATTCACATTCGCACTCGACATCGACCGACAATTTGTGTATTGTCAATTTTGTATACAAGTCTGCCCGCCCTTTCAACACCAACAGACTCATGGCAATGCTCAATACGTGGCCAATACCTGTCAAGGATGTCCTGGATCTAAAGGTTTTGGAAGATGCACAGTCTGAAGGGTATGACATGGGAGATGGACTCATTAAACAGGACTCTCCATTTGTTGGAGTGCTGAGAAGTAAAGGATTCTGTTGGTTGGCTCCCACCAAATGGAGTGGTGCCAACTGGGATGCTTACCGCCACGACACCGCGATGTACTGGAGTCATGCCGGAAAACACTTTGGGCTATCGTCTAATGGAAAGTGGTGGGGAAGCATTCAAATGTATGACAAATGGGAAGAATACATGAAGAAACTCTTCAAAGACAACATGGCCGAATATGAAAGAATCATGCGAGAAGACTTTGTGTCGGAAGAATTTGGAGATCGCCGACAGGAGCTCGTCTTCATTGGGATGAATCTGGATCAGGCAGAAATCACTAAGACGTTGGACGATTGTCTCCTTTCGGACGAGGAACTAGAGACGTACCGACAGAACCTGAGGAATTATCAAGATGTGCTTCTTAGCGAAAGTGGCGGAAAGGGTTTGTTTGATACGGATGGCAGTGTGACACATACCGAAGCTTAGCCAGAAGTCAAATAGCTAATGTGTATCATATTTTGAGTGCTCACAGCTTGATGTTGCACGTATGTGTCTATCTATAATACGGTAGTTTTAATGTTACAATGAAGACGGAGTAAAATTGTGGGCTTTGTTTCTCATGAACACCAATGCCAGTCTCATCGACCGGATAGTGCTCCTTCCACCATCTTTTCCTGTCTCTGTCGAAAGTATAGTGCCAAGCAATGGACTTGTGTGGTCCGGTAATATAGAAGGCTTCCAGCTATAAGTTGCTTCCGAAAGCTGCGATGCTCTCCATCGATGTCCAAGAAGGCCATGACGTATTCCTTGGCCATTCGGAAGTATCCTGTGTTGATGTCTAATGTTTCTCTCAGCCTTGGATTGTCCAACAGGTACGTTATCCAGCGCCCTGCTACTGACGCTATCTTGTAGATAACTACAAAGAAAGCGACATTCAACAATATGCAATCGTTCCGTAAGAGCCCTAGTGTAAGGAGTACAGCGCATGCGATTGATGCTGGGGATGTCCAGAAGTGGTATGGTTCCGGTTCAGAGACTGAGAGCCATTGGCTACTTCTTCCTGCTATTGGTACTGGTACTTTGAAAGTTTCTCCCATCATGTTTGATGTTTTTCTGGTTGTTTGTTTTGGATTTTGTGTTGGTATAGCCAACTCGACGACAATCAAAGCGCTTCGATCGTTCGACGTTCAACTTCTTTTGCTTGGCTCGGGTCGTGGTGAAACAAGCATTGCATCAAGAATGGTGTGGATTCCGGGTGAAGCAACGCTTGATAGTGACAGTCCCATTTCTGTGTCGGATTTAGCGTGAACCAACGGGGACTCAAAAAAAAATTCCAAGGCATGCATTCGACTGATTCGATTCATTCCACTCTTGCCAACAACCATCTCGAGTGTTTCAACCCTGTGTGGTCGGCAAGGATTGGGTTGCTTTGGGGCGTGGCGGGGGTTGCTCTGAAGCAAGCGAACGGAGTGGTGGGACTGGACTTGGGCTGAGTGCTTGGGAGTTTATGGTTGCTGGAGGTGTCCGCTCTCCGCGCACAAAAGATACACAAGATGGGCATTCAATCGAATACGGGTTCGGCATATCCTTTATTTCTTTTCACCAAGATTGACGCTGCGATACGCTGACCATGCTCAGTGCAATATCAAGATAGCCTGGTAAAAACCCTCTAGATACCGGTGGGCGAACAGCTAATCACAACCAGGACGCCTGCATCGCGAATCCTGGATCAACAGACGAGTTGGCTAGGTACAGCAACCAAAGCATTCATGGGACCGTTTCCTGTTGGTGACGAACAATACATTATAAACGCCCCGTCTACTGGTATCAGGGCTTTCAAGATGGGTCTATAGTTTTCAATGCCGTAGCACCGATAGTGTTGGTTACTGGGATCTTGGAAAGAGTCTTGTTCCCAAACAATCCATCATGAGAGTCGAGCATTCTTTCTGTGATCTTGGATCAAAATGAGTGGCAACTGGTCCGCCAATCTTGCTGATGCTGGCTCATGCACTACACTGTATAATTTGTTGGGTTGGTTGCCAACGGCTGGCTTTCAGTGGGAGCTTGGTTATTCTCCTCGCCATCACGGGGCAACAAACCGCATTTCACAAGCAAGGGTTCTGCAACTCCTATCGTGAGGCCCACTGATAGAAAAATTCCGAACAGTGTTGCAAGGAACACCTCTTTTTCGCAGGGACAAGGGTTGTCGTCTTCTTTCACCAAACCAAGATAATCACAGATCAAGTATAAAACGGCACCGGCGATCATCAAATAAGAACCGCACTCCTTGAACCTCTCTTGCAGGCTGAGAGAGCAGCGACTCATCAGGACTGCCCGGAAAGAAAGAAAAATGCAGAGACCGATAGAGAGACTGTAAAAGACAACAAGACCCTTTTGAAAGCAGTTGCATTCATCAGCAGTGGCGTCCCCAGCCTCGACAGCAGTTCCGGCCACTTGCGCTGTTACAAGCCCCAAGAAAGACAGCAAATGCATCATCATTTATTTCCCCGCTTGAAGAATCGCTGCAGCCTAGATTGATGTGGTTTCCGAGAAACAACTAATAATAAGTGTGGTGCTGGTCCTCTCTGTTCTTGTTCTTTGCCTCGATGCTACCGGTACCGTAGCGGGGTGCAGTGATCGGCAACTCCATCGGCAACTAGATCCATGCACTGGAGGTTTTGGGTACTATGACGAGGAGAGTACCAGTTGGATTCTCACCTCCATCATAAGATACTTCCGGTATCTTCAAGCTACATGTTGTACTGGTACTGAGTAGTCTAAAATCACACGGGTGACAAAATAGTGTTATTTCTTTTTTAAAAAAAAGGTTGAAAGGGCCCGAAATCGCGATTTACACGTACTGTAATTCTGTTTTATATTTTGGTTTCGATATTATATTTTAGTTTTGATATTATGTTTAGTTTTCGATTTGATATTTTGGTTTCGGCTTGATTTTAATAGTTATTTACCATAGTAATTTGGTTTCGGTTTTATATTTTGGTTTCTATTTTATACTTTGGTTTGGAATTGATCAATCTAATTGAATTCTTAAAATCCTGATTTCGCGCCCTTTCGTTGCACCCCTCTAGCTAGCTACTAGCAGACTCTACCGCTGAACCGAGCCATAGAGGACCCAAATACTCCAAACATCCAAAGGTGCCCGCTTGGGAGGGGCCTAGATAGAATTGGCCTCCCAGAGAAACTATAAATGCCAATGGGCATGCATGGAAGACCAATCCGCTAGTTGCTAGGACGATTCGACATTTGTTGCTCGTAAATTTTGTTTGGCTTTGATGCTCTTTTCCACCACGGGAGCCAATTTTCCAGCCACGCTTTGAGCTAGTCTAATAATCACAACCAGGACGCCTGCCCCCGGCTGCCTGGATCAACAGATGAGCTGGCTGTGGTACCCCAGCCAAAGCATTCATGGGACTGTTTCCTGTTGGTGGCGCCCAAAACATTATGAACGCCACTCTAACAAGTATCAGAATTTTCGAGCTCGGTCTATTGTTGTCAATACCATACGGTAGCACCGATAGTGTTGGTTCCTGGGGTCTTTGGAAGAGTCTTGTTCCCAAACAATCCACATGAGGGTAGAGCATTATTTCTGTGATCTTCGTCGAAACGAGTGGTGACTGATCCACCAACCAAGCTGATGCCGGTTTATGCACTACGCTGTATAATTTGTTGGGTTGGTTGCCAACGGCTGGCTTTCAGTGGGAGCTTGGTTATTCTCCTCGCCAACAGGAGGCAATGCACAGCATTTCACAAGCAAGGGTTCTGCACCTCCAACTACGAGGCCCACCACAAGAAGAAGTCCAAATACTGTTGCAAGGAGGTCCTCTTTTTCGCAAGGGCAAGGGTCGACCTCTTCTTTGACCAAACCAAGATAATCACAGATGAAGTATAAAACGGCAGCGGTGATCATCAAATAAGGTCCCCACTCCTTGACCTTCTCTTGCAGGTGGAGAGAGCAGCGGCTAATCAAGACTTTGAAAGCAATATAAGTGAATCCACCAATAGAGAAACTAACAAAAATAACGAGACCATTTAGAAAGCAGTTGCATGCATCAGCGGTGGGGTCCTCAGCCTCGGCAGCAGTTCCGACGGCTTGCGCTGTTATTACAAGTACCAAGAAAGACAGCAAACGCAACATCTTGTATTTGCTCGCTTGGCTTGAAGAATTGCTGCAGCCTCAGACTATATATGAAGTGGGTTACTAGCTAGCTACTAGCTAGCTGCCGGATCGATGTGGTTTCCGATAAGCAAAACTGCAATCGATGGCTTGATCCTTGGACCTTTGCTCTTGGTCCATTCTTTTTCGCTGTGGCTGTCTGCTGCTCTGGCTGATGAGTGAGGTTCTGGCATTCAGTAAACCGGTACACCAAAAAACTTGAGGCTTACCTCAGACATTAGATATACATGTATACCCTTCCTGCATCTTTTTGCTGAAAAGCTGAGCGATCGGCGACTGAGTGACGGTCGAGGCAGTGGATTCTTTGTGTGTCCCTTTGTGTTCTCTCATGGGAAGGCCAGTGTGGGTAGAAGGTAGCAGCAATCGAAAGCAAAGTAATTGCGGCGCAGAGAATCTTGCCTGCTGCTGAGACTGACCAACTTGATTCGAAAGATAGCGAACCAAACTGCGTCTATTGACAATGGCGTCGACCACGAATGATCGTCTCACTAGGGCCACTCCGTTCTACACCATGAACCTTGTCAATTCGGCACTGTTTTCCATCTTGCCAGGGATCTATGTAGTTGCTTCGCTCCTGTACGGTTTGGTGTTTGGAGCTCCCAAGATCAATTTGGTAAAGACGGCACAAGAAGAATCCTCATCCAATCCACGTCGAACAGCAGTGATAACAGGGAGCAACGCTGGCATTGGTTTTGCAACGGCCCGTCAGTTGGTGTTGCACCACAATGTGGATGTTATGTTGGCGTGTCGGTCGCGGGACAGGGCCATCCAAGCTGCCGAACGCATCAATGCAGAAGCGCAAGTGACACCAGGAGTCTTGTCCAGAGCTGTATTCTTGCACCCCTGTGATTTGAGCAGCCTGGCATCGGTTCGACAATTCGCCACGGCGTTGAAAGAAAAGTACGATACCTTGGATATTCTCATTTGCAATGCCGGTGTCAATTCCAGTGTCGTCGAAGGAAACAGAACTGTGGATGATTTGGAACTGATTTTCCAATGCAATGTGCTGGGCCATTTTTTGTTGATCCAATTGCTACTGGATCTCTTTCCAAAAGAGTCGGGACGGATTGTGACACTATCCTCTGTAGCACATCATTTGGTACCCAGCACGGCCTCGTTCGATGAGAGCTATTGGCGACAATTGGCGGAAGGTTCTGCTGGTGCCATCCCTGTACCATACTTGGGAGCTCTCATTGAGGACTCTGTGCAGACCTATCCGCCCTCCAAATTGGCAGCCTTGCTATTGGCAGTGGAATTGAACCGACGCTTTTACGATTCTGGTGATGATAAGAACACAAGACAAATACGGGCATTTGCAGTGAATCCTGGAGCTGTGGCCAGCAATATCTGGAGAAGCTTCCCATGGATTGCTCAGATGGTCATGCAACGAATTTTCCTCTCGACCGATCAAGGATGCGCCACAACAGTGGCAGCGGCTGTAGGCGAACATGACAAGGATGTCCTTTACTTACAGCCATACTGGCTCCCGGGGTCCAGCAACAACAAGGCACCGTTTCCAGTGTTCGAAATGATGGGTCCTTTCGTGGGATACAATGTTACCCAGCCCAGACTGCCACTGGATGGAGGTGTCTTTGCTGCAAAGTCGCTATGGAATGTATGCGAAGAAAAGATCATTGGATGCACGAAGGAATAGATTGCTAAAAGCGGGTGTCCCAATGGGGGGCTACACCTACGGAAACGGGGGAATTCTACACTGCATAAATAGATTTGATAGCCAAAGCATAGCTCATCTAGATGGCACGCTGCAAACAATAGATTTTGAGAAAGAAAGCTTTTGCACAAACCAGTATTGTTGTTTCCTGCGTTGGGACCTTCAGCTGTGATGCCAACCACGCTGGACAGGAAGGAGTCTTCTGAGGCGACGATTGAATCATTTGTCTGCCATGAAGAGGAAGAGCCTTTGTTTTGATCCGATTAAATTCAATTCGTGCAGAGGCCACCAGCCTCGAACGATATACCGGAGCAAAGACGAATGCTTCGATTGAATCGAATCATCCTAACGTCGTTCGAGTTGCGTACTACGAGTAAGGGCTGCGGTGGGTTCGTCGGCCCGACCCAGCCACCGCGGAAACCATAAAGAAAAGGAAGATTATCTCGCAACGGACAGTACCGTAGACTATCAGATGCTGGGCGAGAGAGGAGTCCCTCATATATGCGTATTGGTACGGTGAGGTTTATGCGGCGCCTTTCTTCAAAAACATTTTTATGAGCCTCTATTTTTATGGTCTAGTAGTACACTTTATTCATTCTTCGTCATGGCAATCCTCCATCGTTGGGTTTCCTCTTTTTCAATCTTTTAGTTCGGCGCGCTGGACTTGAATTCTTTCCTTTTTATTTTCGAATCCAGTCCAATGCGTCTGAAAAAGAGGAAACCCATGATGATTTCTTGCTGCTGCTGCTTGATTTTTTTCGTATGCTTTCACGGCGTTCAGGAAGTGATGTTGTGGAGTCTGTCACGCAGACGCTGCGCTTCCGCCAAAGTTCTCTTTGTTACTTCCTCTTTGCGCTGTTGGAAATATCCTCCTACAACGTTGGACGTCATGTCGAAATGCACTAGGAACACTCCAAACGCCGCCTTTCGTGTGACATCCTTCTTGTCTAGAAACCGTTCCACTTGCCGCAGAGAATAGCGAATCCACCAACCGGTCACTTCCGAGCAATCCTGTACTAGAGGGTGATTCATAATGAACCCCTTCCACTTGGAAAAGACCACGCCCACTTCATATAGGAACACTATCAAGGCGCCGTAAGCTAAGTTTGCATTTTTCGTGGAGACCGCCAACCCCAAAAAGCAAAACATTGCCAACGCCGGCTTGGAACTCCAGAAGCTGTACTCCCTCTCGAAGAAATCCTTGCCACCAGAATGGTCTACCGAGAACGAATACTGTCCCCGCATCTTGCGCTTGTTCTCTTGTTGTTTCTCCAGCAAACTCTCCCGTCGATGCAACATAGATATCCGCGACGTCCGCCGCGTCTGCCCTCCTCCGCCAGATCCTCCCGTGGCACTCATACGAGGATCTTCGCTGACTGTCCGTCGCAGCCGGTGCTTCTTCTTCGGGGCCTGTCTGAAGCTTCGCGAATCATAGTTGCTCCCTTCGTCTGTGTTATTTCGTCGAAACCGTTGCCGCTCGCTATCCGAACCCATTGCCGTGGATCGCAAGTTGATCCTCACCCGTCGAGTCTTGCGTTGCGCCCCACCGGACGAGTCGTCGTCGTGTATTGCTTGCTGCTGCTTCTTCATAGCGCTGCGTATTGGAGCTTGAAATAGAACCAACCGCCTTTTGCTTTTGTTGTTGTGTTTGTTGTGTGACATGAACCAACACAGGCCAAAATGGGCAATTGAGTTCGTGGCTGGTGGTGTTGCTGCTGCGTTGTTGCTGTGTTGTACCTGTTACTTCCTGTGGTCTCGGGGAACTTTTGGAGGAAGGAAGTACTACTAGTAGCTACGAGTACATCGTACCATAGTACAAAAAGTTGCGTCGCAAGGGGTTTGCTGTTCGGGAAGCAACGCAAGACGCAAGAATTGAAGCTAGTCCCGAAAAGGGGATAGCTTCCCTTATTTAATTAACAAATAGAACTAGGCTGTTTTCAAGAAGTCATTTCAAGAGAAAGAGTCACTGAAGAAACGGTTCTTAACAAATTCAGTACAAAATCAAACAATGCTGTAAGCATTAAAATTTTGTTGTGACGGTGCTGATTGCAGAGTATATTTTTGCTACAGTGATATGACTGGTTTGTTGAAGAGCACGCGTCGAACTGCTACTCGTAACTCGTAAGTACCAGTCACAGTCAACAGTCAACGGGGATAGGTGCGTTGACTGGCTGGCTGACTGTGATTAACCAAAACACGGAGCCATCTCATTTTTAAGCCTCTTTGCTCCAGTTGGTCATTGCTTTCTTTACTGTTAAGTCTAGGATGATACGGTTCTCACACTAGGTAAAGTTGCAATTAAAGGCTCTCCATGACGCGCCCCTTTACTGGAATGGGTCGTGCCAAAACTTACGCGACTTCGAAATCTTGTACGAGTAAGATTTTCTCAACGGTTTCAAAATGGACTTGCACTTGCTCGACTCTCTCAACTATTCGAATGTAGTCGATTGAACTTATTCGAATGGTTGATTCGATTGGTTCGACTATGTCGGTGACGCATGAAACAAGATCCAAAATGGCCCGAGCTTGACAACTCAACTCGCATTCTTTCCTTCGTCTTCACTCTCACAAACTCTGGGACCATGATGATGCTGGAGAAAGCCGTCGTTGCGGCCCTTGTGTGCCTCTACTCTTGTGGAGCTGATGCCTACAGCACTTCATCAGCTGCCAACAGCAAGCACAACAATGACGTTCTTTCCCGTCGTTCCCTGGGCGCCCAGGCACTTCGCAGTCTGGTAGCCGCCACCGGCGCCGCCACCGGCGCCGCCGCGATCGTGGGCCACACGCCTGCTGCAGTGGCATCGGAAGGCGATGAAGTCGATGTGTACTTTGGTGTTGGTTGCTTTTGGCACATTCAACACGAATTTGTGGACGCGGAACGTACCATTCTGAGCCGTGACGACAATTCCTTGACGTCGAGGACTGGTTATGCGGGAGGAAGCAAGGTAGATTCCGAAGGCAGGGTTTGCTACCACAACTTTCAGGGCATTGCCGACTATGGAAAGTATGGCCATGGCGAAGTGGTGGGAATGTCACTGCCCAGTAGTAAGGTTTCCGATTTTGCTCAAGTCTATTTCAGCCTGTTCAACCCCAAGACAAAGGGTGAGTACAAGTGTACTGTCTCTATCTTGACTTTTCTTGGTTTTGACATTTTGAATTGGTTTGATGGCTTGCTTTTGTGATGTGTCTCGACTAAACTGGTGATTCTTTCGTGGCACGACGACTAGACCGAGTTGACCCACAAGATCGAGGTGGCGAATACCGATCTTTGATTGGTATCCCTCAAGGCCAAAAGAGTCCCTTGTACGAAGGAATTGCCAAGGCAGCTGAGGACGCTGGGTTCAAACTGGAGCTGGGCAAAGGCAATGATCCTGACACTTTGGGGAAGAAACTTGTCTATGTTTATGATTCTACCAAGTTTCCATTTTATCAGGCCGAGGTAAGTGCTGGGTTCGATGTCAGCTACTTGGAACTGGCCAATGAATGCATGACGCGCACAACCAATAACATCTTTCTTTGTGTCGTCTACCGTATCTTTCATAGGTTTACCATCAGTTCCACAACGATTTCCAATCACCAGCATACGGCAAGACATACAACAATTTGGCAAATCTGGCCCTGGATGACGGGCGGATTCGAGGAACAGGATGTCCTGATCGGGTTTGAAAGGACAGCCAGTCAGGTATTCATGTCTGCCAAAGCAAGCTAAAGCAAACAACAACTCAAAAAGTCGCCACTGGTTTGGAGCATACTAGACTAGCTATTCTTCAAATTAGTTCCATTCATCGGAAGATCTAAAAATGGTGATGATTGGTCTGACTATAGGTTCCACTGGTAGATGTACCACATTTGCATGCATACATGCATTGCTCAACCTTCACTCCGCCACATCTTGCCACGGTGCTGCAAAATGTTGGCAGAGAATCTAGCTCGTAGTTCAAACTGATCTTATTCTCGGTCCTCATCGTCAGCTCGATTAGGGAGCATGCAACAACAACCCGGAGAATTTTCCTTTACCCATGACCACCGCATTGCCCCCTAAGGTATTCCACGAACGGAAACACAATAATTACTCGCCAGCCACAATCAAACAACTCGTTTTTTCTAGATGGTTGTGTCAGCTACTGGCGATGGACGCGGATTGCTAGATGAATTCTTACAAAGATGCTACAGGTAGTTGTGTCAAAATTGTCTATTCCTATCATATCTCTTGCCATTGCTTCTGCCTCGCTACAGGCCCTGCTGGTGCCAGCCATCCTGCATAAAATACATGTAGTCCACTTGCGAGGCTTTGCTGTCACCCACATCGAGCCAATTTAGATGAAAATTAGCCAAAATTCAATGCACATTGACACCCGAGACCTGTATAGAGTGCTGCTGCGCCTTCCAAAACCGACCCGTTTCACTCCGGCAGATTGTTCAGTGTTGAATAAACTCAGATGGATGGACACACTCGGGCTTCCTCCAAGCTCTTTTGCTTGATTTTACATTTTCCCTTCACTGGTGTATCGCTTCATCAGATCAGCGGCTGTAGTGACTTCTGACTTTTGTTCCCAGGCCGCCTTTTGGACGGGAATGAGACTAAAGGATGGCAAATCGGCTCCTCCACTGGGAAATCCTCCGCGTTCTTTGGGTCTGATATTTGGGTCCATCCCCTGCCATGCTTGGACGGTGTCATAAATACTCTTTTCCATGGCCAATGTCACGAATGGCAGGGCAAACAATCCGTACACTCCCACAGGAGATCGGACGACTGCTTCGACGACCCGTCCCGTGGCTCCTCGCGAGTGACCATAGCAAAAGGCGGTGAAGGGGACCATGGCGGCGCCAAAACTGTACATCCAGGCAGCGTTATTCCGACCATCATAGTCACGGATACTGTCTGGTCTTGCGGCTTCCTTTTCTTCGTAGCTGTTGGACATCTTCTTCTAGTGTTGTTGTTGTTGTCTTGTATTCTATTCTTTGATAATTACGTGTATTTGTGCTTGTTCTGTTGCAGTTGCTCTGTTTCCTTCCGCAAGGCGATGGTCGGGTGGTGGCGCGTCAGTCATGTTGTGTAGTCGTAGCCACGTCATAACGCATCGGAATCGAAAAGAATTCAATCGAAGAAGCCGTATCTTTCTGCGACATACGTAGGCCCTACGCAAGATCTTGTTGGTAGGCACGTTCTGTGCTTTTCTTCGTCGTCCTTGCATGCATCATGATGAGGTCCTACCAGTACCATCTTCTTCCGATTGTATCCTACTATCACGGCTGAAGGCTACTAGCAAGGAACTAATCAAATCATTGCTTGCTCACAACAGAAACCTTTGGTTGGATTGATTGATTGATTGATTGTTCTGACAAAGGGTCCATTTTGTTTTCCTTCCTGTCTTCTTTTTTTCGTCCATTGTTTTTTGACCATGTTGAGCAAATCTTTGGCGGCTCGAAAGCTAGTGGCTTCCTCTGCCCGTGTGGGGGCAATGCGCCGCACTTTTCATGCCACATCCAGTCTCCTAGGCGATGCATTGGATATGGTCGATACTTTTCCAAGGCGTCACTGTGAGTATTTATTGGTCCAAGGGGTATACACCCTACCATGTTTTTTGAATTATTTGGCCATTGTTGCTCACAATCACTTGACTACCTCTTTGTGTTTTTCTTTTTTCAGTGGGACCTTCCCCTGCCGATGCCAAGAATATGTTGGCCACTATTGGCTTTACCGATTTTGACGGTCTCGCCAAGTCCACTGTGCCGGCCAATATCTTGTCCAGTGAACCGCTCGACCTACAACCCGCCATGACCGAGAGTGAAGCACTCTTGAAATTAAAATCACACACCGACAAGAACCAGGTCATGAAATCCTACATTGGCACTGGATATTATGATACCATTGTCCCTCCCGTCATTTTGAGAAACATGCTCGAAAATCCCGGTTGGTACACCGCATACACTCCCTACCAGGCCGAAATCTCACAGGGACGCTTGGAAATGTTGCTCAATTTTCAAACACTTGTAGTGGATTTGACCGGATTGCCCATGGCAGTCGCATCCTTGCTAGATGAATCCACGGCGGCGGCCGAAGCCATGCAAATGACCTTTGCGCTCAAGGGCAAAAAGGGAAAAAAGAACAAATTCTTTGTTTCCACGGATGTTCATCCACAAACCATTGCCCTCATTCATACGCGTGCCGGTGCCGTGGGTATTGAAGTGGTGGAAGGAAAGCACAGTGAAGTAGACTTTTCGGCAGGTGACTTTTGTGGGGCACTCATTCAGTATCCCAACACGTATGGATCGGTGGAATCCACCGGAGAGTCTTATCAAGACTTTACCGCCCGTGCGCACGACGGCAAGGCCATGGTGATTGCCGCCACCGATCTCATGGCATTGACCAAATTGGCACCTCCGTCGTCGTGGGGAGCCGATATCGCCGTGGGATCGGCACAACGATTCGGTGTCCCCATGGGATTTGGTGGACCTCATGCTGGATTTCTGTCTACTTCGGATGAATATTCGCGCAAAATGCCGGGACGTGTCATTGGTGTTACCGTCGATACCGCGGGGAAACCCTGTCTTCGAATGGCCATGCAAACACGAGAACAACACATTCGACGTGACAAGGCAACTTCCAATATCTGTACCGCCCAGGCTCTCTTGGCAAACATGGCGGCATCTTATGCAATCTACCACGGTCCAGAAGGATTGAAAGAGATTGGTGGGCGTATTCATGCTTTGGCTCGCGTGGCACATCGAGAAATTGGCAATGCTGGTTTCAAGGTTACCGAGGGACCATTCTATGACACATTTACCGTGGATGCTTCCTCCAAGGGAATGACGGCGGCTCAGATTCAACAAGGAGCCGTCAGTGTCGGCGCAAACGTACGTCTCATTGATGAAAACACCGTGGGTGTCAGTATGGGTGAGGGAGTCACGCGTGGCGATTTGGGGGCTCTGTTGAAGGGCGCCTTCCAGATTGCTGCCCCTGACATGTCTGCTGATGAATCACTGACAAATGTCGATGAATCCTGCGCTCGGGAAGGTGACATCTTGACGCACCCAATCTTCCGCCAACACCACTCGGAAACCCAAATGCTTCGATACTTGAAGGCTCTGGAGAACCGTGACTTGGCATTGAACCACTCCATGATTTCTCTGGGTTCCTGTACCATGAAATTGAACGCAACTAGTGAAATGATCCCTGTCACTTGGCCCGAAATTTGCAATATGCACCCATTTGCTCCCCATGATCAAGTTGTTGGATACCACGAAATGATTGAAGACCTCAACAAAGACTTGTCTGAGATTACTGGCTTTGAAGCCGTCAGTGCGCAACCCAACTCTGGGGCCACCGGAGAGTACGCTGGATTGCTGGCCATCAAAGACTACTTGGAAGCTTCTGGACAAGGACACCGCAACATTTGTCTCATCCCCAAGAGTGCACACGGTACTAACCCAGCCAGTGCTGTCATGGCGGGAATGAAGGTCGTCGTGGTGGAGAATGATGAGCAGGGAAACATTGATTTTGGAGATCTTGAGACCAAGATTGCCAAACATAAGGACAATCTTGCCGCCTTTATGGTCACATACCCCTCTACATTCGGAGTCTTTGAGGAACAGATTGTGGAGATCATCGATGCAATTCACGAGGCAGGAGGCCAAGTTTACATGGACGGAGCCAACATGAATGCTCAGTGTGGGCTCACTAGTCCTGGACGCATTGGAGCCGATGTTTGCCACTTGAATCTTCACAAAACCTTCTGTATCCCCCATGGAGGAGGTGGACCAGGTACGGCTTTTTTCAGGAGTTCGAAATTAGGTTTTGTCGAAGTCTTGTTATCTGACATGTGTTTGTTTGTCTTTCTCAGGTGTCGGATCGATTGGCGTTGCCAAGCATCTCGCACCATTCCTTCCTGGCCACGTGCTTGATCCCGAAGCAGCGGGTAAGCTGTGCGGTTCTGACGCTTGCGTTCCAAAGGAGAACGGAGCAGTTGCCGCTGCTCCCTTTGGATCAGCCGCAATTTTGCCAATCTCTTGGATGTACATCAAAATGCTGGGACCAGACGGTTTGAAGGCTGCTACAGGGCATGCAATTTTGAACGCGAATTACATGGCGGCGAGACTCAACGGGGCATACGATGTCCTCTTTACCGGAAAGAACGGCCAGTGTGCCCACGAATTCATTCTGGACTTGCGTCCATTGAAGGCAGCCACAGGTGTCACGGAAGAGGATGTTGCCAAGCGCTTGCAAGACTATGGATTCCACTCGCCAACCATGTCTTGGCCTGTTGCCGGTACACTGATGGTGGAACCTACCGAGTCCGAAGACTTGGCGGAACTCGATCGTTTCTGCGATGCCATGCTGGCAATCCGAGCCGAGATTGATGACATTGGCAAGGGCGCAATGCCACTGGAGGAATCTCCACTTCGAAATGCTCCTCACACCATGGACGCAGTGCTTTCGGACAAATGGGATCGACCCTACACACGAGAGGTTGCCGCCTACCCAGCTCCTTGGATCAAGGCAAACAAGTTCTGGCCATCCTGCGGTCGAGTCGACAACGTGTACGGAGACAGGAATCTCGTGTGCACCTGTCCTCCTCTGGAAGCCTACGAGGACGATGACGAGGTAAAGAAGGTCGCATAAGCGAAGCGTAGCTAGATAGGATAATCAAATAATGGCACAGAAAGTAACTATCGAAATGGACGCTCTGGTTGTTTATCGTGTACCGTGTAGCTAGCCCCAGGCTTCGAGGACAGGAGCAAGAGCCCTCAACAATTTTGTACAAGGCAGCCAGGGAGCAATCTCGTGTTGCAATTTCATTCCGAGATCCCGCAAGGGAGAATCAGTCTGTTTGGAGGGTATCCATATCGAAACTCTGATGAGACTTGACATCATCGAAACATGCGTTGAAGTCGCTCAACCAACACCACCAAACTGTTTCTAGTAGATTGTTGAATCCTGTGATGACATTTTCAAACACACCATAAAAGCTTCCAAACTCACTCCTCGAATCAAATGATTCAATCTACAGGCAACCATATACTCTGTACAGTTGGACTTCGGGCCAATCCGTTTCAAAATCCAGGCGTTCCACTTTGGATATATGATCCGATTGCTCCAAGGCTTTCAAAAATTTGTCCACACCATCCGCTTTGCGTCGTTCCAAGCTTGTAATCATGACAGTTTGGGGGTTTATCCGTAGCAGCTCGTCCATGGTTTCAACCAGTAACTTCCATGATTCACCGTAGAGAGGTTCATAGACGCAATCGCAGTTGACCACGAAATCAAATTGTTGGGAAGAAAAGTACTGTTTCTTCATGAGCTCTTGTACCCCATCTCGTGACCAATCCAATTCATGTGCCTGAATTTGAGCACCATACACCTCCTCACCAAAGTTGGTTTTGGAGTTGTTTTCCAGTTGTTTGGGCAGTGGATCCTTATCCGTCAGCACGACCTTCCAGCCTCGCAAGGCGTGCAAAATCATCCCAGGAACACCCAAGCCACATCCCAATTCCAACAGAGTCTGATCTGACTGCTCATGATGATGCGCGAGCAGGTACTGCGTTGCCACAATGGAACTTCTCCAAACACGAGTTCCAGCCCACTGGGTGCCGTCAAACATGGGAGCTATATCATCTGGTTCCATACAGGTCGACAGTGTCAATGTTTGAGAAGAGCTGGGCCAATCAATCTCAATGGCCGTCTCGAGACCAGTTTTGCTTCGAATGCTACGGATCCATCTAGGATAATCCTCGTCATCGTCAGAATCTTCTTCTTCTTCAACCTTTTTGGTGTTTGTGGCCTCCAGTGTTTCCGTCTCCGTCATGGTCTCAGCTCTTTTTTCTTGGGAAATTGTTTTCTGTGAAAGGACGTTTGAGTGGCAGCCAAAGATCTTCCTGCCTCGAAGTGGAAGGAAGGACGGACGGCTTGTCCAGTCCCAGATCAAACGAGACAACAAACCAACAAGAGCAAAAGCGCGAGCTGCGATGGTGGACCCGCAAAACCACTGGTAACGCATATATATGGTTTGGATCTTACTCTTGCTGGTCCCATGTCTGGATAACCCAGTTCATAGTGGCTAGCTAGCTAGTACTACCAATAGCGTAGCACTTCATTCTAAAAGGGATTCTCTAATGATCATTATCATAAAAATTGCGGCTACCACCACAAGGCAACGTAAACAAGCAGGCAATCTGTAGCTCCTGCCACCATGACTACTCGTCTCGAGAGCCGCCACCATCATGATTAATCTTGATACTCCATGTGGAAATCAAACGAGAGTTCTGCATCCGAGTACTTGACACAGGCAACTTGCAGAACATGTGCTAGCCGAGCAGGGGCACAGACAATGACAGCCACCCGGTTCAGTCCACTTTCCAGAGCCTCATCTCTCATGTCAGCAAAGATCTGTTCCACATCTGGACGTCCCGTGTGGACAAAGGGCATGTTGGCAAGAGTAGTCGGTGCTTGACCTTTGGTCAGATATACCTGAATGTCAAGAATATCCGAAAGGTCGGCATTGTTGTAGGCTCCACGGAACGTGCTTTCATCGGAAGCCTTGTTCTTCTTGCGAGTTGGTGCAGCAGAAGCCTTGCGATTGCTCTTCTTTCGGGAGACACCAAAGTCGGGGACAGGGTAGTCGACTTCCAACTCGGCATCCGTTCTTCGGCTTGGTGGAACCATGGAAAGCAGCACGGATGCAATATCCGTTGTCTGACTCTTGCCGTCATTAAAGACACTATGAGAGGCAATGCTACGCAAGTCCAAGTCTTCCAAATCGAGATCAGGAGCCTGGAAATGTTGTGAAGTGCTGGCGCGTCGTACAACATCCGTCTTCTCAACGCAGCAAGGATCGCGGTCAGACCACACCATCCGGACCTTCTCAAGCTCTCGGCGTCCCTTGTTCTGCTCATACACCAGTTGGTTACACATGCTCTGAATGGGTGTAATGCCAATGCCTCCACTGAAGAGCAGAAAGGACTTGTACCTGTCACTGAAGATGTCAATGTTGGGACTTCCATTGGGGCCCTCAACCAAGATGGAGACTTCATTCTTTTCCTTGGCCAGCTTGTGAAGTGCCTTGGTCCAGTCGCCTGCAACACGGATCATGATGCTGACATTGGGCTGCCTAGGACAAGTAGCGATACTGAAAGGATGGAACTCAAGACCAGCACCCACAATCTCAGGCACAGCAATGCTCAAGTGCTGCCCAGCATTGTAGTCAAAGGCGGCTGTCTTGGGGAAGGAAAGCTCAACCACAGTGTCGCTAATGACACGAAGACGGGCGTTTCGGGGATAGCGGAAGCCGGCCATGACGATCTTGCGGCACAGGAGGTCACCGCCCCAGATGATGGAAGCCAAGATGGGAATGAGGACTCCTGAATGATAGAATGCACATGCTGTCATCAACACCACAAAGATGACATGAATATAGTAGAACAGTTCGAAACACCAGTGTCGGACTTGAGGGAGGGAGGTAATGGTGACACCGGCAATCAGCAAGAAAAGACCTGTTCCAGAGCTATTCATTTGATCATACACAAGGAACTTGTGGAAGGTTTTCTCCAGAGCATCAGCATGAGCCACAATTGTGTGGAGAATACCATTGAAGAATGCAAGTCTGCCTAAGACTTTGTGGTACCACAATGCCCTCTCAAATGGCAAACCAATCAGCAAGGTGATGAGGGAGTTGCGCATGGCTGTTGCCAAGGCAAGGATGAGGGGAAGACGGGCAATGTGCCCTGACCAGTATGTACTGGGCCAAACAAAGGCAGAGAGCAGACCACCCAAAAAGATGCCAACAAGAGGGATGACCAATAGCAGCTCTCCAATGGTACAAAAGATGCCAGCCTTGCGCAGCTGTTGGGAAAGGAACACACGGCGCTGAAGAGGGTAGGACATGCGCCAACGGAATGAATAGAGGTGTTTGATAGCTTCAAGCAGACCAGGAGAACTGTGAACCAGCCAGTAGAGGGGAGGAAATTCCAGTAGCGGATGAGGTTCATTGGGGCACTGACGGATCACCCATGGCTGATCCTGCATGACATCATCTTGAAAGGAGACTCCTTTCTTGCCGTTGCCATTGCCGTTGTGATGGCTGGGGACTTCTTTGTCAAAATGGGTCCCATTGCCCATAGTGCTAACACTTGCCGCTTCATAGAAGTCTACACTCTTGACGCCAGGCTTGGTTCCACCTTTGCTGGTTCCATGCTGCCTCTTTGTGTAAGGGACTTCTCCTCCCATGCGGAAAATCCGGTTGGCATCACAAACGGGCTTGTCGTCTCCGTTGCGAGCGTAGTCGATCTCCTCAGGTTCGACGGGTTCGTAGAGATCAAAATGTTTGCTCTTGTCTTCCATGATACGGGGAAGGTTGCTATGGAGGCTTGATGATTGCATGACTTGCATAGCAAAGTGACCAGAACCCGAGATTCGTTTGCCCTTGCTGGACTGTTCCATGCCCGTATCGTCTGATCTAGTACGAGAATCATCCATGTTTCTAGTCTTTTTGGTTCTGGCTGTTTGGCAAAGCTTGTGTTTGGTGTAGGTTTACTTGGAAGAAGGACCTCTGAATTGTGAGCACAGAATGATGAGCGGGGGAGCGGTAACTACTTTCCACATTTTAGTGCCAGCTAACCAGCTAGCTGGGCAGATGTGTTCTTAGCTCCATGAGCGAACACCAGGCACCATGTCGGGGGCCGGGCTTTGGCAGTACTTCTACAGCCTTGAACCCTGTTAGCAAGATCGACTCGAATCGTCCCCTATCTTGTGTCAAGCTTTTCATGCCCCAGTCTCTTTTGCTTCCCTCGAATGCTCTGTTTGGGTTCTCTTGAGAGTGAAAGTCCCAGCATCTCTCTGCTTATTCGCGGAGATTCTTGCTTGTGGATCGATGTGTTCGATGAAAAGGTTGTGTCCCCGCTCGGACAAGCTAACCACCCAATGTTCAAGAGACACCCCCGGAACTTCCAGAATGACCGGACACGTCGATCTTGCATAATCTACTCCCACTCAAATTTGGTATCAGATGGTATTCATCATTGTTTCAACTTGGCATATCGATGAAAAGAGTATACGAAATGACCTTTGATCACTTTCTTGGATACTGGTTCGATACCCCTGTGCGCTTCCTACACGTACTTGGTAGCGGGATAGGCGTTGCGTAGAAAGTCCCAAGATCAACGAATCAATCTGTAAGAAGAGGGGGAAGACGAATAAGACGATGGTAAAGTGGCTGAGTGCTCTTCGCAAAATGTCTGCTTGCTACGTAACGGTACAGTAGCTTGCTTGCATGCTAGCTAAGTGGTACCAGGTAGTACCGTACTACTAGTAGTACCATCGGTTGTCTACCCATTCGAGTAATTGCCCCCTTGGCAAAATAAATACTATTGTAGATGTGCACTCTCCTGGCTAGCTAGCTAGTAGGTTTGTTTTGAAACCCACACCTATCCTCCTTCTCCCACCTCTCCACCCTGGACTGATCATCAAAGATATCTAAAAGTAGAGCCGGGGTGGGTGCATCGCTGGCAGCTTCATCAAACTTGAGTGTGGCCAAGGCATACATACGAGCGAGATTCGTAAGCAAACCTGCGAACAAGATTGGCGCGTGGAAAACACATGCCAAACAATAGATCCAGTGATCCTCGAGGCTGAAAGCAGCAATATGGCGGGAACGAGGGTGCTCGACTGACTGACTGACTGATGTACGGCACACCGCAAGGGCGCTTTGATCTTTCGATTGATTGGCGCTGCAATGGTCGGTCGCAATAATTGACAAGACCACTGCCCACAAGAACCAGGTTTGTCTGCATTCGGTTTCGATTCTTTCCAACCAATGCCCTTGGCCCGTACGCACCCCACTATCACACCTGCAACCAGCGACGCTTTCCCCTCTCTCGAGCTCACACAGGGCTTTGGTTCCGGAGGAATAGCTGGAGGTTGCAATGCATGAAACTGAAGACAGTTCATAAGACTCCTACCCGCAGGTTCCCAACACGTTGCAAACCTTTGTACAAGACCAGTGTTCCGAACACAGTACTTGCTAGTAAGTCAATTTTCTCCAGCCAAGCACACCATACCGTATTGTCATCAGATTCTCTTGGGTGCCGGGGCCTTCATCAAGCTGTGACAGCTACATGCAGCTCTACTGGCTCATATTATCATCATTCCTTAGAAGTACTAGTACTAACTAGCTAATCAACCATCCTTTTGAAATATGTAAAATATTATTGCGGTATATTTTGGTTGGTTTTTGAAAGTTGCGCGTTGGAAATTTCGGGGCCAAAATTATGTAGGGAGAAGCCTCTGCCACCATTCTCGACAACAATGGCATTGCACGTAACTTGCACCAGTGATCGCTCGAACGATTGGATTCGATCAAAATTGCTGCTGTGACTGATATCTTAATTTTAAAAGAAGAATCGATAACCTCAAGATGCCATCCATGACGACGCTGGAGAGAATGGAAAAGGGAGATGGTTCTGTGGCCGGTTCTGTAGACAATGGGCACAGCCTCCCCAGGCATCATGATATGGAAGGAGAAACGGTCAAATCATCTGGGGCAAGACGAACCATAGTTCTTGCAGCTTTTGTGGTAGTGCTCATCGGTATTGTAATTGGGTTGACAGTTGGTTTTGTTACCAAAGATGCCGGCCAAGAAGATTCCATGAAGGCTGCATCAGCCTCTCAAAGCCAGAATTCTGCTCCCGCCAATGGAGGCAGCGATGCGGCAATTGAAACACCAAGCACCGAACAGGGAACTGAGAGTTTTGTGCCAGAATCGGAAGAGGAAGCAGAAGTCGAGGGAGCTGAAGAGGAAGAAGCACCGCAAACCAATGTCGCGGGAACCGATGCACCACCCACGACAACGACGCAAAGCGTGATGCCTGAGAATGAAAGCACTTCACCGGAAACTCCAACACCAACCACCGAACCCCCGGTTCCTGATTCAGGAAATGAGGTGTCAAACAATGATAGCACTACATCCCCAGCGGACACCACCGCTACGACTGCTCCGGAATCCCCAGAACCCAGTACGAGTACCAGGCAAGGGTTAATTATTGACTATCTTGTGGAAAAGGGCATCTCGGAAAGGTCTCAGCTAGAAACCGAGGGTACCTACGCCAACGAAGCATTGAACTGGATAAGTACCGACGACCAACTTGTGTTGGCGGTGCCCTTGATTGAAACCTCTGAAACATCGGTGCTTCGCAATTCAACTGATGCAACGGAGGAAGAAGCATTTGTATTCCGGTATGTAATGGCGGCTCTTTACTTTGCAACGGCAGGGGACAAGTGGACCAATTCCATGAACTTCTTGAGCCCCAAACCCACTTGTGAATGGTATGCACCCGTCAATGGGATCCCTGAAGGAGTTGGGTGCACTCCAAACGGACACGTTGTCATCCTCTTTCTCGGTAAGAACTTTATCACTACCCTTCCTCACGTAATCACTGCAGTTTATCTCAGGTGGCTGACAATCTTGCTTTCTCTTTAGGTAGCAACAATCTTAGGGGTAACCTCCCCTCAGAACTCGGGTTCTTGAGCAGTCTCATCATGCTTGATGTGGATAGGAACTGGCTCGGTGGAGAGCTACCGGACTCACTCCAGTCACTAACAGACCTCGAACATCTCCACTTGGGATCAAACGGCCTTCAGGGCTCTCTGCCCAGCTGGATCACAACAATGTCTAGTCTTAGAACGATCAACCTAGGCTACAATACCATGGATGGACCTCTGCCCACTGAGCTTACGACCATGCCCATGCTCGAAGAACTGGCCTTGGACCACAACATGTTTGAAGGGGATATCAATGCCATGTTCAGTTCGACAGTCGCTGGATTGTCTCCTTTCAAGGATCTCTACCTGGATTCCAACACGTTCTCTGGACCACTTGACGAGAACTTTCTGGCTGGCGTGGATGGGCTAATGCAACTGGACATCAGCGACAATTCGTTCAGCGGAACTGTCCCAACTCAGATCTTCAGCTTGCCTACATTGCAAGTTCTGGATATCCATGACAACGCCTTTACATCCTTGCCCGAGACCTTCCCCGCCAATTGCACCATTGAGTTCTTTGCTGCCCAGAAGAATGCTCTTGCAGGTTCCATCCCCGAATCGATTGTGGAGCTTTTCGACCTTAGCCATCTGGACTTGTCTCAAAACCAGCTTACAGGTACCATCCCAAGGGCCATCGGCGAAGTCCTTGTCGGGCTCAACTACTTGTTCTTGGCAGAAAACAGTTTCACCCCGGGTCCAATCCCATTCACAATCACCGGCCTCTTCCGTCTCAAGGAACTGTCGTTGAAATCCACCGCCCGAACCGGCGCTATCCCCAACATTCTTGGTCTACTTTCAGAGCTAGTCTTTTTGGATCTGGACAACAACTCTCTCGAAGGATCTGTGCCATCCGTGCTTGGATCGCTCTCCAACTTGCAGTTGCTGCTCTTGAACCGAAACAAACTCACCGGGGAAGTTCCCAGTGAACTTGGTCAGTTGTCCCAGCTGCAAGTCTTGTACTTGGAGGGCAATGCATTCACAGGTGGTTTGAATGCTACTTGTGCCACCGTCCCCCTTCCCGAAGACAGGGAACTGGAGATCATTGCTCAATGCGACCTCTGTGACGCTCATCCAGGCTGTTGCACCAAGTGCTGCCAAGAAGGAGAGGGCTGCAATACCAAGATCCACGTAGCAGATCTGGATCCAGTTTGGCAGCTTGATTATGAACGAGATGACTATACATTGCACGCAGAAGACTGGTGGACGGCTCGGTAGAAGAAGAAGAAGAGGATGAAAGAATTGTCTTTGTACTGTATTTCATTGTGCAGCCACCAACCTTGACAGAACCAGATTAATCTGCAGGCAGCTTCCTGTAGGGAGTGGAAGGATGCCGCCGGCAAACACCGTAGCTTAGGAGAATGAGAGACATGCAAATGAGGCGGCCATTAGTTTGTTTGTGAACTAACCTATATATAATAGTATCAAAGCCAACTGATAAAGAAAGGACCCGCCTGTCTCGAATCTTACCGGTACGGTACGTTGCCTGTTGAACCACACGGAGTAATAGAGAACAGGTCGAGGTGCGGGAGTAGCGGAAAAGGACTGGAGAAACCGATTCCTTACCCGCGTGACGGCAGTTGAGTATCTTCGGCCAGACATTGTTTGACGACTCACAATTTACTCGGCTTGATGATTTCTTTCCACGGGTCAGAAGAAAGAAATTTCTGGATTGCGCAACGTGCTGATGAGTGAGGATCGCATTGATTTTGTGGTCGAAGCAAATCCATGCCACCTCGCCGTTTGTTTCACTTTAAGTCTTTTCCAACGTCTGGACCCCAACTCAAAACCAACAACCAATGCTCACGATTTAGCCATCAACCTTCAAATCCAATTCTCCCTCCTCCATAAAGCACTGCTGACGGGCTGTGGTTAGCTTTGCATTTATTATTTATTCTATTATCTCTGAACGATATCCTTTATTTCACCATGGCGAAAGTTTCCAAGCCCTCTCTTGACGAAGTCCTCAACATGGATAGCAGGGATTTGTATTTGGATATGAAGCAGCGACAATCCGAGTATGTTTCTCCAGAGACTTACTCCCCCAATGCCTCCTATTTGAGTTTTCGTCGGTATTTGGTGGATTGGATGACGAGCATTGGAGAGTCCTTTCGCTTACATGACAGCACCATCCATGTGAGTGTTTTGTTCCTGGACAAGATTCTGCGATCACGCAATGAGATTCCTCGCGAGCAATGGCAACTGATTGCCACGGCTTGCATTAGCTTGGCTGCCAAGTACGAAGAGGCCGAAGAGCACTGCCCTCACATTCCGGACTTGCTCCGAGTCTCCAAGCTGAGCAATGCTGGACACACGTCCTTGACGTTTCGAGAAGGAGAAACCCAAGTGCTCAACTATCTCAACTGGAAGCTCCGAGCGGTTCCAGCCATTCACGTGGTTGGATACTTTCACTCCTGTGGTGTTCTCTTTGACACGGATCGTTGGAACAACCCTGCTCCGGCATCCAAAGTCAATGCTTCCCTGGAGAAATTTGCAGTCTTTTTCTCCAATTTGACGCTGCAATCCTATGAATTCTGCAAATACTACCCCACACTTTTGGGGGCGGCCATTTTGTTGGCATCGCGGGTAGCGGTCAAGGTGGAACCACACTGGAGACCCGAGCTGACCAAGCTCACGGGGTACAAGGAAAGCGACATTGAAGAATGCTTTCGACATATTTGGCACTCGTACTCGGCCCAATTCCCCAATCACGTGACACAGTACCAATACAGATCATCGTCACCTCGCAGTGTCGTGTTCACGCCGGTAACTACTACCCATGCCGACCACCACCGAATGTGATTTTGATGGGATGGATAGAATTGGAACCAAACATTGTCACTGTAGGCTTCCAGCCGGCCTCAAAAAGCTACATTATCTTGCTGCGTTGGAAATGAAAATGCAAGTCCAACGGCATCGCCTACTAGTAAGCAAGCAAACCATGGGAAGACCAGAAGAAGGGCTTTTTGGCTCTTTTATGCTTTTGGTCTATGATAACACTCATAAACGTCTACATAGCACTATTACATTGGAAGTCAACTCACGGCAACTCATATTCCAATATCCTGACCAATGGGTAGCTTTAGTTGTTGCTGAGCAACCCGCCGTGCAACGATGCGCAGCTTCTCTTATTCTGTAGCTAGCTAGGCGTTACCGTACTAGTATCCACAACCAGTTTCAGCAGCTACCGTAGCACTTACTTGGCGCCTTCCACAAACTGACGCCTGGAAGCAGCAACTAGCCAGCCACCACGAGTTGGTCCCAAAGGGAGACGAGATATTCTTCAGCACAGGACCCCAGCTAGCTTGCAGCGCACATCCATTATGCACTATCTTAGAATGCGACATCATGTCAACAAACAATCTTCGTTACGCCCACTAACACTGAATGCATCTTTTGGATCGGATCATTCAATGTATGGTACCAACGAGGTATGAAATAATAAAACAAGAAGATTAGTACTTATTTCTTACAGTGCTTAGTTCTCGAGGCCTTCTTCTGGCCATAGTATGCATTGGGTGATTTTGCATTGATACATCTCCTTTTCGTCCGCTTGCTTTTTGCTCTTACCAGTGTGACCAGTGGGAGGTATGTCAGTGTAGAAAACAGTGGACAAAACCAAGGATTCCACAGCGCCTCCCACCAGGTCGGTCACTACCATCAGACCATCAGCCATTTAGCGGAATTGGCTACAATAGCTTGTCTTCAGGAAGATTGTCGGGCATCCAGTTTTCGTTTCACCGCTTGAATCCTTGCTTCGATTCGTTCCCTCTCCTTATCGGGATTGGAGCTACTGCTGTTGTTGGGGTTGCTTGCCGCGCCACCCAGACCAGTGTTAGCGTTGCTCTGATGGGTATCATTGTGGGCCGGTCGCACCATCAACCGTCTTCCCAAAAGACCTCTGCCATCCAGAGCTTGCATCGCCGCTTCCGCCTCGTGTGGAGAGGAATACTGACAAAAGGCGTAACCCTTTCTGTCGCATAGATGTAAGCGTTGAATCGTCCCGTATGGGGAACACATCTTCTCGAGGTGTGCCTCCACAATCCGAGGATGTAGTCCACCAACGAAAATTGTAGTGACAGGTTTCGAGGCAGCGGCGGCGGCAGCAGCAGCTTGTGGAGCAGCGTGAGCGGCTACAGCCACCTTGGGACTATCGGATTCCTTGGCATGGTCATCGTCAGTGTCCGGCAACTTGCGCTCCTCTCCGATTAGGCATCGCCTGCGCTTCGTCGACGGTTCCTTCTGGAGACTGACCACCATTCTCTGTCTCGATTCTACTATCTATCACTGCCTAACTTGATGCTTTGCTGAGGATGTTGTTACTTGGAACAGTGGCATTGAAGCGCACCTTTCAGCCTCTTTAGTTGTAGATTGCGTCACACTCTCTGGAAGGGCGTGGCTTTGAGGGCTCCTCGCTCCACAACAACAGGAATTCAATCGAAATTTGTTCGAATTAAATCGATTCGGATCTCAAATTTTACTCTTGGGAGAAAAGCTCGTGGAGGGGACCATTGCTTCTTTCTTCAAATAATGGACATGGGCCTGGAAGGGAGTGGTACCGTACACTGAACGGTGTTTTACCATGCACACGCCGGATTCGATAGCACTAGCTAGCTAGGATTGGGGGACAGAAGAGGTCGAGTTGCTACCATGGCACCACACACAGCAAGCAAAAAAGGCGGGGTATCAGAGGTGCAACAGTTGTGATGGAACATTGGATCTACCGGTACCGTACCGGTACCTTGGGGTGGCCATTGTTGCAATGACAAGAAGCCCCCTGTCATCAAAGTCAGTGGATAATTGCCATGTAGCCACAATAATCCACATGGGAAGGAAAGCAAAACTAGGTTATGATGGCGCCTGGTAATCAAAAGAGCTGTTTACGCTAACAAAGGAGCAGATATCAAAGATTGTCAAACGTTACTACATGTAGATTCAGCTCATGGAGGAGCTGTGCATACCGGTATGGATTGTCCGTGACGAAGATTGATCCGACGAAAAAGGCTGCTACTTTAGACTCGTCACTCATAGAGGAGCCGCCGCCTGTGCAAAAGACAAGTCCTTCTGTGACAAGAAGGCCACGAGCTACACGTAGCTTCCACTGTACCGGCTAGCTACCGGTGGGCCCCCCACGCAACTTGGGATTGTGATTCCACGCTTCACGCAAGCAAGCTCTGGTATCTTCGCTGGTTTTCGGAGTGGCCAGAAAGCAGCGGCAAAGCAATTCTCAGAAAGCAACCCACTACCGTAACCAAGTGAGTCCGAACCGAATAAAGCACAACAAGCAGAGACCGATTGCTTTATCTTGGACAGGGACCGATCTGTTCCATCGTTGGCTGGTATTTCAGAACAGAGCTACAACTCCCACGACGACGAGACAACAACCGGAGGATCACCGATATCGGCTTTGACTACGTTAACAGAGTCGATAAAAGGATTACCCACGCCTTATTCTGCCGCCGACAATCTCTTAGTTTGCTGTGGCTTTTCGCTGTCCACCTAGTACCGGTATCTTTGTTGGTTTAAGAAGTAGTCATCATGCCGCCTCCTGCGTCAGGGTACGATAAGTGTAAAACGACGAAACGGCTCGTTATCCCTTTTACCTTGCGGATTTCTCTCACCGTGTCCTTCTGTGTTGCAATCATCAGTCGGTGGGCCTATTTTACAAAAGGAATTCATCCGAACCCGGTGAGTGTTTGCTGCTGTGGTGGGCCAACTCATCGGCAGTTCGAACGATCGTCGGTGTCCTTGTCATTGTTATCCCGAAGATCTCTTCTCACCACCATCACGTCATTAAAAAACACAAATTTCGCAGCCAGTTGCGGATGGAAGGACAGCCGGCACTCCCCACACTTCCGTCCACCCTTGTAGTAACCCCAAACTATTCTGGGTCCAGGTACGTGTTTGCTGTGTTGGTGACATATGAGTGTGGCCTAACGCCTGTACCTAACCTGGCTCCTTTCATTTCTTGTGGGGATTCTGATATTCTGCTCAAAGTGCAATTTTTGTATTGAACGTAATGGAGGGAAGATTTTGCAGGAAGACAGGGCGTGGATGAAAAGCCGTGAAGAACAAATGATGCACCACCTGAAGACGTGCTGCCCCGAGTCAATGAGAGTATGGGAGGATATCATCGACTGGAAGACGTCACGAAGAACCAACAGCGCCAAGACTGGAATGAAAACGAACAATAGCGCCACCATTGGAAGCAGTCGAAAAAGGCAATTGATCAGTGCCTCGTCTACTGGTATCAATAGTGCAACGGGCAAGCCAACCAAAACCGCCCAGAACAAAAAAGTCAAGCGGGGAGGAGCTGCATCTGTAGACTTCGAAGGTGTAGAGAGCGGCAGTTTTGGTGCTGAAAATATGTCCTTTCTTTCTCCCTCCAAGAAACCAGGAGTCAGTCTTCCATCCTCTTCCCGCGCTGTCGGTGCCGACCCAACAAAGCTCAACCCTACACAATTACGTTATTTCCACAAGGTTTGCAGTTTGGCCATAGCCAGCCAAAAGCTCCCGTACTCGTTCTTTGAAGAGCCGGTCATGATGGAACTGGTAAGTGGATAGAAATTGCGTGTCACGCCAATCACGACACCATGCGCTCATGTATCGCTTTCTTCCTGATGCATGTATCTCCCAGTTTCATATCCTGCGTCCTGGGTTGGTCACGAATGGGCAACTACCCACGCGAAGCCAGTTTACTGGCGACGGAACCAACAAGGGATACATTGAAAAGTACGCCATGGAGCAGGTCTCCCTCGACTTGGGCCAAATCGTCCGGTCGCTCAAGCGATACGAGGGCTTAAAAGCAGCTTTGGCGTGCCAGCCGGTAGTCGCTAAAGCTTCCTTGGTGCCTCCTTCCACACTGACATGTGGAGGTGAACTGTCATGCAGAGTTGTGCCTGCAATGCATGCGATCCAAAGAAAGCAATCTACAGCTACGCATAAGGAAGATCCCGCAGTGGCGCTGGCAGCCATTTTTGAGCGGATGTTGAAAGCTACATCGGTAGTACTTGGCCGGGCAATCCTTGGTGACGAGGAGAAAACGATGGAAGTCACTGGCCAGGTCAATAAGTCAAACCAACCCATCAAGCACGAAGCCACTGAGGCCATAGATCCAACTCAAGGGTCTAGAAGCGAGAGCAATAATGATGAACAACAATCTGTAGGATTTTCCAGTATCGGGTCGTGTCTTTTGCAAACGGCAACAAACGAGCACGAGAAGCAATCAACAGCATACCCGCCTGGCACTTTGGGGCGAGCCCAACGGATTTTGGCCCTACGATGGCCCATGATATCCTTCCTTTCCCATGGTTGCCTTGAAGAACAGCTGAATTTGCTCATGAAAGATCTCCTCACAAAGCTTCCCGGGGATGACCTACTTGAGCCTCTGGAGCAAGCTTTCAGTGCACTTCGTGCGATAGAACAGTTGTCGGAACCGACGTCACCTGGCCAGACTTTGTTCGAGGGGCTTTCCAAGGCTGTCAACGATTCATACCTTGGAGGCTCCGGGACAAATGACCAAGTGAGAGAGCTTCTACCAGTAAAAGGCTGCGTGCTTTGGTCCTCCTGGATCTGTGCGCAACGGGCATTTGCAATGCTGTTGCGCATCAAAGTGGCTTGCAAAATGTTTGTTGGTCAGAATTCCTTGGGCCCGGGCTTCCCATCTGACCTTATCGTCTTGGCGGACATCGGCTTCTGGGAGAAGCTCGAGCGTGCCGAATGCTTGATACGACCCATTATCAAAGCATCTTTGAAGTTTGTACCCGAGAAGGGCTCCAATTCGATTGTTGATGAACAAACGATTGCACCCACCATGGCTGACGTGGTTCATTTGTTCTACTCTTTGGCACATTTATGGAAACTGAGTGGTGGATCGAGCGCTGCAAAGCTAGTCGAGAGACGTTGGAAGCAATACGAACAACCTTGGTTCTTGCTTGCATTTGTGTTGCACCCAGCCTACACAGAAGAAGCAAAGGCTTTCCTCAAGAAGCAAACGAAGGAAGATGGTTTGTTCTCAGCCAAGTATCTTGCCAATGCGGTGCTTGGTTACACAGTCAAGTACTTGGCCGCTGAGCTCACTGCCGATCCTCCTCTATCCATGTCGGTACTGAAACGGCAGACCTCTGAGTACTTGGACAAAGTAGAGCGTGGGGAGGTCACCACCAACGAAACTTCCATGCAAATGCAGAAGGATTGGAAGGAATACTGGACTTGCCAAACGACCAGCCCTGAGTTGTCCAAGTTCGCTCTCTTCATCTTGAGTGTCACAGTACAGGTATGTCAAACGATTTGAACCGGTGGCAGCTAGCCAGGTTTGTTGATTCTTCTTAATTCTCATGTGGGTTGACGCCATTGAGCGGTTCTTTCTTTGCAAAGGCAAATACTGCAGAGTCTTTCTTTCACAGCCTTGCCGCCACGTCCGTGAAAATCAGTTTGGAGGGAGACCGAGGCATGCAAAAAGAGTCACTGAAGGAGCACCTGACGGTTCTCGAGAAAGCACCGAAGCAGTTGACTCCGAAGTGGCAGCAACAAACCGGGGAAGAATGTTCGAAGAGACGTCAGATGGTGAATCCAACAGAGAAATCGCCTAGTCAAGGAAAAGGCAGCGAGCCAGGGGATGTGGCAACAGCGGCATCTCTGGCTGCCAAGAAACCTGACAGCTATGAGCCATATGATCCGTTAGTGGCGAGGAACGAGTTCGTGGAGGACCAGGTTGCGGCGAGTCTTGATTCCTGCGTTAGCCGAATTAGCAACCAAACCGTGACAAAGTTTTGGATTCGAGTGCTCAATTCACTGGACGACTCTGAGATTGGGGATCTGCAGGATGACGATGAGTATGCCAGGGCTGCAACTGCATCGCCTGCCGACGACAATGCCGTCGCTAGCGAGGACGAAGACGACGATTCAGACATGCCTCAGTTTACCTTACCCACCTATGCAAAGGGCAGCGCCCCTGGTCCGAAGAAAAAGGTTCGCAGAACCTATCGACCGGAACAAGTGAAAATGGACTTTATGGCAAATTGGAAGGACTTGAGGGATGAAGCAATCGACTCCAGTAGTGATCCTCCCGGGGAAGAAGTTGTTTCTCAACTGAAGAACTACCGGGCGAACAAGATTACGCTGCTTGAGCTATTTCCTGCAGATCAAGTACCGCCCTCCGTTGCAGATTTTTTCAACTTGTTCGACGATGGCGACAACAAGAAGGAAGGAGCTTAGGTTGGGTGGATGAATCGGAAAGAACTTGTTGTACTGTACCGCTAGCACTACTTGTAGAAAACTCTCGTCAGCTACCTCTACAGGAATCCATACCAGTACCCGTAGAAGCTAGAGTTTGCCAATCGTTCCCGCTCTTGTCTCCGGCGGTGAACTGACTTTGTTCCTCACCTCCCAAACGATCTCTCTTGTATCTACTGCCTCCGTCGCCAACACACTGCATGCTGATACAATCGGAGTCATCAGAGGTGTCTGTGGCGTCCGAGTCGTCCGAATCGGAATCGTCCGAGGAGGACTCAGACTCCGACGATTCCTCGGATGACTGCTCCGCCATAGCAGCCGACGCCCCCAGCTGTTGACTATCAGGCAGTCGCTCGTCCCTCGCAGCCGATACCGGTCTGGTGCCCTCAGGATGGTGCTCGTCGTGACCACGCACTGATGGTCGTCTTCCATTCATGTCATCTCCAGCCTCTGGATTTTCGCAGACTTGCGGATTCGCCCTTGTCGTCACCGACGGACAGTGCTGTTGAGGCTGTCCACGAGTTGTTTCTGGCTGCGTGAGAAGATGCTGGGACTCATCGTCGTTGGCGTGGGAGTGACCAACGTCGTTTTGGGTAGCATTCCTCGAGAGGGGCTGGCCACCATCACGCATCATCAGCAGGTTTGGAGGGGCAAAGGGTTCAAACAAGCCTCGAAACACCTCGTCGTAGTTGTCGTTGTCTTCCATCAGTTTCTGTTTGATAAGCTAGAACGCAGGTGTGTTGCCGATAAAGGATGTAGTCAGACAAGTGAGCAATCCCACAACGAAAACAAACAGATTCGAATGGTACCGGTACCTCCAGGTCTAGTGGCTGGTCTGGGGCGCTTGGCGAGGTTGCAACAAAAACATGGTTCACGAGTGATTGCGCATGTCCAAGACAAGTTGTCTGCGATTCTTTCGCAGCAGGCTGCGTTTCTTCATTGGAGGCTGAAAGGTCAGATTCAACTTGTCGCGCCTGCAGCATGAAGAGAACATATATATGAGTGAACACGTTGCCGATGGCAACCGCAGCTTTTGGGTCAAACTGAACTTACAGCTTCGAGAATCTCAGCCGGCCAACCGCATACACCAGCAAGGTCAACCCCGTATTCGGTGGCAACGGCACATGCCCCTGAACTGACTTTGTAGGTGTAGGCAATCCTCCCGCTTTCCCCGCGAGTCACTGTTGCCGCCAAGTGCTGATTCTGAACCGAGGAATACATCTTCCCGAGAGCTGTGAGTTGAGAATAGTGAGTGACGAAGAAGGTAAGCGCTCCCCTTTGCAGCAGACTCTCCGACACAGCCCATGCAAGTGCCACGCCATCTTCGTTGCTGGTTGCTCGTCCTAGTTCGTCAATCAGAGCCAGGGACCGAGAGGTCGCTTGCCTGCAAATCGACGCAACTTCCTTCATTTCAAGCATGAACGTTGATATATTGTGCTCTAGTGGCAGAAGTGTAGAGTACATACATCATATGGGCGTTTGTCAGAATGCAGTAAAGACCAATTCTCGTACGTTTGCCTAGAGGTGAGCTCACCTTGATCATCAGTATTGCCAATTCGAGTGCACAGCCAATCGCGGATCTACCAGTACAGTCGATAGCAGTATATGATGTTTAGAGCAGCCTTGTTTTGCTCGCGAGAAAGCTCAAGACACGTAAATGGATGTGAACGTACCGGAATGCAAGCAAATTCAGCTGGAACGTAGCCCCCACAGTGCGCCAGAATAACAATGGTTGCAATCTGCTTCAAGTAGGTACTTTTCCCACTGCCGTTTATGCCCGTGATTGTAGTAAAGATTGTCCTGCCATTCGTGTAGGTATCATTCGCGACGAACTGAACTCTGCCAGTGTTCTGGTAACTCGTTGCCTCGCCCAAGTATCTGCCGTTTCGGATCACAATCTTGTTGTTCCCATTGTCGGTCAGCATTGGGCGACACCAGGGCTGGGTCGCTTTTTGCGTGACGCAATCAGCAAAGCTGTGACACAGGTCTAGCAACGCAATGGCATCGGAAAGCATTGCAATTGCTGCGTACTGACTGCGCACGACATCGAGGACTTGTTGGATCTTCTCGTCTGTCATCAACAGCAAGTCCTGCACATTGTCTTGAGCTCGAATGTTCCGACTGAGAACCTCTTCCGTTGTACACATGATGAAATTCCCCGATCTTGCAGGTTGAATGAATTCTGGAGGTAGGTTTATCCCGTCAGGAACAACCAAATAATAGCCTCTGTGAGACGAGAATTTGACTTTTACCGAAAAACCATGATTTTCCGCATACCGATCAGCCGCGGCATAAATGTCATTCACATTGTCCGTGAAGGCACTGCGAATGACCGACATGATGCTGTCAGGTTCTGCTCGTAGTGCCCAGCATTCTTCGTGTCGCATCATATGAGAGTTGCGATGTGCCGACGTGGTGCTGGTCGAAAGGACTTGTGAAACTGTCGCAAAGATGTCTTTCAAAGCTGTATTCTTCATGGCCGCGACAATGGCTTTGAGGAGATGATGCTTGCACGTAGCAGTGACAATGGAAGCTGGTCCTTGTCCCAAGCCGTTTAGTAGAATCGTTTCCAGGTCCGTGGCGGACGCGTCGTCCTGTGTGCCTGCCACCTCCTGAGCATTGAGCCCCATCAATCGATCCTCTAGCACTTTGGTGAATTGTGGAAGCGCTGCCAATGTTGTTTTGATATTGACGAGCGCTGATATCCCCTTGCGGGCTTCGTTCTTGGAAATGGTGCTTCCGCTGCCGCCAGTGACGACGAGGTCCTTGTTTTTGCGCTTGGGGACGAGTGCAATGTTGGTGACCATTTTGTCGAGACACGGCAGCCACTGCAAGTGCTGCATGACAGTGTAAAAGAAGTTCTTGTCGGCCAAAAAGGCGTCGACCAGATCGAGCCGTGACGCAATCGTGTCGGTTCGTGTGGAAGGTGCCATGAGACTGGATCGGAGCAGCCGTTCTCCGACGGACGTCTTGGTACAGTCAATAGATGCCAAGATGGAGTTTTTGGTCTTTCCAGACTTGGCATTGGCCAGAAGTTCCAATTGCATGAGACTGCACCGATCGATGATCATCTTTTCTCCCCCGGAATTGACCTCGAGTCGAACACTCTTCTTTAAGAATGTAATGCCGAGATGCTGTTGCGTGTACTGCAGAACCGCATGAACGGACGACAGGACAATGTATTCGTTGGCGACTGACGTGTCGTAAAAGTCATCTCTCGCAATGCCCTCCAACGCTTGAGAGCCCTTGGTCTGGTCAAAGAAGGTTCTTGAAATGTACTTGACGACGACCGTCTTGGCCGCTCCGTCGGGATTTTGTTGTTGTTGATCATTGTTTTGGTTGGAAGCCGCAAAGAATTCTTCCACCAATCGAACCAGCTGCGAGTTTCGACGTCCTTCGTTGATCAAACATTCATCGGGTTGTAGATTCTTGAGATGGTCTAGTGTCTCTGCGTAGGCGGAACCGTTTCCTTGCTTGATGGCCCGCACGTGGACGGGTGCACCAGTGTCCAATGACGCGACGCACGTTTCCTTGGCCAAGTTCTCGCTAATGGCACACACAATATGATGACTCGATTCGCCCTGTCCGGAGGAACGAAGTCTGCTGGCTACGCTTTCATTGCTGCTTTTGTTTTTACTGTTGTTGCTTGCCTTGAAGCGCTTTCTTTGTCGACCGCTCATGGTCTCGTCTGTCGGAAAGAGTGAAAGTGGGAGTTTGCTTTTTTGTGTTCGTCGTCGAAGTCCAAGAGGAAGAAGGTGTTTTGAAGGATTTAATGCTTAATTTGCTTTGAGTGGTGCATACAATTCAGTCATTCTTTCGCGTGACTGAACTCTCTGGGCCTTTTCATGCCCCCGACGCGTTGACGACTGTGCCAAAAAGCCGAAAGACCTTCCCCTTGCTTGCTTCTATCTTTGTCGTCTGCTGCTAGCTAGCTAGCTTAGTCACAACCCAATTATAGCTATTTCATTCATAACAAGAGCCCTGCCGAGGAGACAGCATCAAGATGGTAAGAACGAGGCTTGCCATGATTGTATCTCCTCTGAAAGATTGCCTGATTTGATTCGATTCCAGTCTTCCTGGCATGGGAATTTCTTGTCCAGTATCTTGGCTGGAAGACGCTGCCCTGAATTGCCCATTCAATCCACGACTTTGATGATCATGTTGATAAAGATGTTTGATGGTCAATATCAGTCTTCTGGTCCTCCTGCTCGTTCTGTTGTGTCTCGGTAGAAGAAGCACTGTTTCTTCAAGTAGCTAGCTAGCTGGAAATGTGTAGTTTCTATGCAGCCTTGTCCCATTCCTTTCATTCTCACTTTTCTCTCACTTTTCTTATCCGTGATGATGATGTATTTACAATCACAACAACAACAATCTACTTACTTATATTACGTATACGTATACTATAGACCGATATTCAATACTGGGATGACACTCTATCGGAAGAGATCGATAAGATCCAAGAGCTGATCGATATGGTCCAATCGATGGGTGACGGCTCACCGGAAAAGACGGGTATTTTCGACAAGATCGAAAAGCATCTAAGAGCCGCACAGGGAACCAAACGGAGCTTTAAAATGGAAATTCGGCTGGTGGCAGATGTCAATGCCAGGAAAAAGTTCGAAACTCGTTTGCAGGTATTGGATCAAAAACTCAACACTCTACAGGCCGATTGCAAGGCTCTACGACAGGAACACGAACGTGGAGAGTTATTCGATGGACAAGGCGGTCCAGGTGAAGTCAATGAAGATGATGCGGTCAAAGCGGGCGACAACATGTTGGGGGAAGCCGTTAATCTGCAAAACAAGACACAAGATTCTCTCTCCAATACCAAACAATTGATTGCCGCCTCCAAGGAAGTGGGTATGGCTACATTGGAAGAACTAGAACGTCAACGCGATGTCTTGAACAATATCGAAAAGGAAATTGATAGAGTGGACGACAACCTTGCTAGAGCAGAAGCTCTCCTCAAACAATTTGGAACGAGAATGGCCAGCGACAAATTCATTCAATGCTGTGGCGTGCTCAATTGTCTGCTTCTGGGAGGCGTCATTGTATTTTCCGTGGTCAAGGGTGGAGGTATACCCGGTGTCGGCGATTCCTCTCCTGCCGATCCTCTGGCTGCCGGGGCCACCACCGAGGCTCCTGTTCGAATGATTCGAAGCTTGCGAATGAAGCGTGATTAATGTATTTGAGCTCAACAACAAGAGAGTGCCGCCGACGTAGCCGTCCCATCTCCGTTTCTTTCAACCCTCCATTCCACTCCATCCTCCCAGTTCTGCTAAGTTGATTCAACGAGATAAACACTGATGCACAAGTAAGCACTAGCATAAGATCTTAGCAAAAACGTTCATTGGCTTTTGACCAAGGTCCAAGCTCTCAGAACAATTCCGGAGCAGAGATTGCACTGCCGCAGCACCGATGGTTGGGCGGTGAATACTCAGGCTGTCGTAGGCACCGAATGGCTAGGCGGCGAATTCGATCGAGATGACTGCTGAGTTGCACCCAGCAGCCAGACTCGACTGTCACTCGACTTTGGGTTTCGCCCCCCTCTCGTCGAAACCGAATACTAGTACGTTGGCTTGATACCGAAGCGTGTGGCGGGTGCGGCCCTCTCCGTCCCGTCTCCAATACCATTTTGAATCGTATCGTCGCACCGTACGGCAGATCCCACTCAATAAGTAGTTTAGTAGTTTCCTGGCGATCGTGGCAACGCGTGACTCAACCAGGTTAACTGAACGATGGTACTAGCTAGTACCTACCGTAATAAGGGAAGACGCTGGTTGTTCCGGGTGCAACGAGAATGCCATGCCCCTTAGGCTTCGACCACAGCAGCTGCCACCAATGTGCACTGGCTGCTAGCTATCGGTGTATCAGTGCATCATGTGGGTAGCTTCGGGCTTCCGGTTGCGGCGATAGGTTTGCTCGCCTCGAGGCTGGAATACGTAGAACTGCTAAAAAACTACATGATTTGCCTCCAAGGCAAAAAGAAGCAAAGAGGCACCGTCGTGACAGCCATCTATAAAGTGTTCTTGTTCTGTAGCCACCCAATGCAACGATGGTGGCCCAGTGAATAATTTAGTTGCCATGGTATGGTTGCAAAGCTGGGTGGGCATATAGTTCACCTGACCACCATAGAAACGACTCCACTTGTATTGTCATGCCGCACAGGAGCGATAGTTTCTCGGCTTTCCGCTAAGGCTGAATAAACTTCCCTTTTGGCAACTGAGGAAGCCCTATTCGAGGTCCTCTTCAAGGTTGCTCTCTAGCTAGCGCTAGATCTTCCATAACGAGTTCTATAACGAGTTCCAATGCTGGTTTGCTGTGCTTGGGCAACAACGCAGCAGCACACTCTTATTCAATCGACCCTAGAGTCTTTCCCGTTGCGAACATGGGTTGCCTTCGAGGTGCTTCGTGCATGCAGGACGTACTGTACTACACTGTTGTATGATAGGAGCTTCGTACGCAGGACCCCAGAGCCCTGAACAAAATTAATTGGTGAGCCCGGCAGTCTGGGGCAAATAGATACTTAAAGTGCCGCTTCACCAAAGTGAAAAGTTCGTTTTACGGGGTCCTTTGATTTAAATCTGCTACTGCCTGGTTCTTGGTTTGCTAAATCCTTGGAGCAAATGATGACTCCTCACTGTTTAAAATCACAGTCGTGGGAAACTTTTGGTACCGTTCCCCGCTCTCCACTCTCCACGACACAGCTCTCACTTTTTGTCGTCTTTCCACCCTTCCAATCTCAGGCGATTCGATTGATTCAAACATCATTCAGCAAGTGCTCCACTAAAGCTGTCACAAAAACAATTGTCACATCATTAATCACAAACCAAAGCAACTAACAAGAACATCACTATGGTAAGCAGAAGCCCGATGACTGGATGGTCGCGTCTCCTGATCGAACTGATATTTGCTCACTTTGGTCTCTTTCCTCTCTTCTATTAGCCTCAAATCGAATTCTGGGACGAAAAATTGACGGAAGAGGTTCAAATCCTCCAGAGCATGTTAGCAAGCTGTAGTGATCTCTTCGATGAAGAAGATACCCCAATCTACGACTCTCTTCTTGACGATGATGGCAGCAGCGACTTTGCCAAGTTATTTAGGGACGCCAACCGGACTAAACGATGCTTCAAGACACAAATCAATCTCTTGCCCGATAGTGACGCCGCCACCAAACAAGAATGGGTGGATCGCCTTGACTTTTTAAGCGAAGAGTTGACATTATTGGAATCAGATTGGGCAATCCTCTCAGCCGACAATCTTTCCGCGAGCAATGCCTCGGTTGAGTCAACAACAGCGACCCGTACGAGGGCAGAGCCAACAACAATGCAGGACGCCTCGTTGCAATTCGGGGCAACCAACGTGCGACCGAATATCCCGGAAGAGTCCTTGGGTCGCATTTCAACTACGATGGCCGCTCCTGTGGATTTGAGTCCAAAACAAACAAAGACAACCCGCAAAAGTCATGCCCGCAGGAGCATTCGGAAGCCCACCAAGACAACAGAATGCAACAACAAAGCTCCCACTGCAGAAATGGATGTCCCTCCGAACCAACGTCTATCCAACACGGAAGTAGAAGATTTGCCTATCAAACCAGTAGGAGACGACTATACATCGGAACTATCACAAACGGAAGAGGAATCTTTGAAGTCTTTTGAAAGCGGCGAATGCCAAAGACTCCCCTTCCGCAGATCTGAAACACGAATTGATCGAAAATCGATCGACAAGGAGGAGGCTGCCCGCTCTGCCAAGCTAATCAAACGCTTTCGGCGTGCTTTGGTTTCACGTCGTTAGCTACCAGAGAAACGAAAGGGGAACCTAAGAAATCATATTAGGATAGAAGCAAGTTCAAGAGGAACCTAAGAAATCATGTTAGAATAGAAGCAATCCAAAGTGGTCCACCGCCCATACTCGCCCTTTTTGTTCTGTTCCCGATAGAGTTATCAATGTGATTCGGTTATCTAACTAGATACAGTTGGTGAGCCATCAGGCAGCCACTGGTTCCTGCCTGCCGTCGGAGGACTGATGGTCCTTCATTAGCTAGTGCTTAAAAGGCAAGATAATCTAGGCAAGAGAATAACACGCTGTGGCGGCTGTATCTCTGTTCCTTCCAAGTTCACGGCCCCCATGATTCGAGTCGTTGAGCTTGCTGGAAGGCACATGCGCCATATTTGCCGTCACCGTTGATCATGCTCTGATAAGCACTGCAACTGGCTGATACCGGTAGAGCCGATAGTGGGAGGAGGGAATATCGGGCTGTGAATGGGTGTTGGTGGTATAGCGTACAGTCGTACGGTAGTATCCACGACTCGCCCACACCCAACTTGAGCTTACCTCAAAGTGACGGGGTACGGTATCCAGATGATGATGTGCTACGGTACCATAGCAAATGACTCATTCACATACGCAGGTGATCGCCTCTGCAAAATTGCGTATGCTACCATACGTTGCCTCAAAAGCAACTACATGTATCTTAGCTTTTATGGAAAAGTAAAGAAACTAGACTAGATCTATCATCGTCGGATCGATCGAGGTCGATTACCTGTAGCTGACGTTGGCGGCACACAGAGGAGTGCGGCCGAAGATCATTTTTAGGGTTATGGATAAATTTGAAACACGCAGGCAAGCTTGCTTCCAATTGGATCTTCGCAGCTGCCACATTTTTTCTCTCGCATTCTTTTCCTTCTGTTGTTCGAGTTCTGTTGACAGTGCGTCGATCCCATATCCTTCTTTTGGCAAGGCATCATTGCGGATACGAATAGCTTCATTGGCATCATCATTCCAACTAATTCGGCTTCTTTCTTTCTTCGGCATTATCTTTGACATTATCTTTGACATTGGCAACTTGATTCAGGGTGTTTCCAAGTTATCCGTCTCAAAATAAAAAATTAATAAAACAATGACAGCTCTGAGACTCTTGCCGGCCGTGGCAGCAGCCTTGATGGTAGCTCCCGCTGCTTTTGGGTTTGTGAATCAACCATCTTTTGTCAACAAGATTGCTGCGGCTACCACTCATGGCAGTGACAGTACTACCAGTCTGTACATTTCCTCGTGGGGTACCGGGAGTTCTCCGTTTGCATACAAATCCACGGAAAGCGAGAATATCGAAGAAAATGTGCAAGCCTACTTGAAAGCACCGGAAGCCGTGGAAGCTCGTGTCAATGTGGATGGCGCCTGTCTTGTGAGTGGACTGGTCAAGAGCAAAGAAAGAACAGATCAGACCATGTTTGACTTGTTGAACCACGAGGATTCGGCCTTTGAATTCGACAAGATTGTGGCCTTTGTGGATGATATTAAATTCGCCAAGAAACGTCTCTTGTCCAGATCGGCTCGATACACGGGATTGTTGGATAAATTAGATTTCAAAGAGGCAGCTGCTCCAGGCGCCTTGCCTACGGAAGCTGACTTGGAAGGAGTCAAGAGCTGGGTAGCCTATTTGGATGCCACCACCTCTGATAATGTCTTGGCTGAAGTGGAAGGAATTGCTGAAAAAGCCAAGGCCGTTGCCTCTGTGGAAAATGTCGCCATTTTGCTTACCAATGCCAACGGATTGGACGCTGCTGCCTCCAAGGCTGCGTTGGATAAATTGCAAGGGGGCGACTCCATGGCGTACACATTGGTAGCCGTGGGAAAAATTGAAGAACATCAAGAAGGGTCGGAAGCGTACCGCTACACGGAGTTTGGAACGGACGACGGTGTCTTGCCCGATACGGCCGTCTTTTCTCGTGATGAATCTCTTCGAATGATTACCGAGTTGTTGCAATTGGAATGTGGCAAGGACAAGGCTCTGTGCTTTCGAGAAGTTTACAATGCCAATATTACCGAAGCTCGTTTGATCAAGGGATTGCGAGAGGCAGGATATGCTCGTCCTCAGGAAATTGATCACATGATTCGTGATGGGCCCAAGGTATGTCGTGTCGTGATTATGTTGCGGCTGGGGATTGACTTGGTAGTACTGTATTTTGTGGAAAGATTGTTTTGATTATTATTTGCTCACCATTGTTATGATATGATTTATTTGCTTCTTGCCCATTTTATTTTTGCTTCAGGCTTACAAGGAGGCTGTGGAAAAGTGGAAGACGGAATACCCGGATGCCGCCAAGGGATACACCAGCGATGCCTGGTGGGAGTCGGAAGAATTCCAAAAGTCTGTCAAGGCACGCCAAAGCAAAAACGAAAAAGAGATTCAAATGGTCAAGGATGCCAAACAGGAAGAAGTGGAAAAGATTGCCAAAGAATGGGCCAAGCGAGAATACTTTCGCGAAAGCATGTCGGCCGATGGCACCAAATTGACCAAAGAGGAATACATCGAATCCGTCTGGGAACGAGCTCTCTTCGAGGGAGATCTCAAGTATCGTGAAACGCACAACGAAGACAGTGATCCCCAGGGAGAATTGGTTGATTTCAAAGCCCTTCAAGAACGAAAACAGGTGGCCATGCTCAAGAGAGCCAAGCAGGAATTGAGAGACGTGCTGGATGAGGAAAATTTGGGAGGAGATGTCCCTGGATTGGATGATGATGAGGAAAAACCCGAGGATCCGGATGACAAGAAAATGTCCTAGCTAGCTAGCTAGACAAGGAGAGCTCTTGCTCCTGGTACTGCCATTGCAGCAGGATGGTGGAAAACATGAACATTTATTAAAAATTAAAAAACTGCGCATTCAATGTTTCGGTTGCCCCATTTACTACATCTCACTCTAGCTAGTAGAACTACTAGTACCTGACGCTATCTCGATCTCCATTGCGCAAATCGATAGCGACACCTCGGTAGTCTAGCTTCTTCGTCCTATTTCCCTCCGAGCCAATGCGATCCAACAGAGAGAAGCCAACTGACGTCACTCCCGCCATCTGGATCTTTCGCAGAAGATCTGTGAGACGTTCCGTTGACAACAAATCAACAAACGATGATGAGAAAGGTGCGTCAGAGAGAAGAAAAGGAGCTGGTGGAGGATCAGTCTAGCAGCGTCTAGCTAGCTGCACTGGATCTGTTGCCATCAGCAGCATAGCAAAGCTCATCAAAAACCTTCTTTAAAACCTGTTCCCCTTTTTGTCGTCGACCATGAAATTCACGTCCACGGCGCTCGCGCTCTTTCTCTGTTCTGCCCAACAGGCAATGCTTCGTTCGACGGTCGCGTCGTTTACCGTCGGAAAGGCCATTGCCAGAAAGCATCACAATGGTGTCACGAGTTTGGCTACTAGCAGACGCATGCCACCTGCGTTTTCATCCTCCACCAAACGACGACCTGCATTTGTTCCTCTACTAAATAATAAGAATCACGCCTGGTTGTTGACACGCGGAGGGGCAGCTGCCGAGTCCTTTTCGACGACCAGCACTACTTCTACGGCCTTGAACAGTGCCGTGGCGGAATCCGAGACAACGGCACCCGTTGAAGTGTTTCGTACGGATTACAAACCACTCCCTCATTTGGTTACCAAGATCAATATGGATTTTGTCATTGAAAATGGCAAGACTACAGTGACTTCCGAGCTCTTTATTGAACCCAACAGTTCTGTAGAAGGAGGAGGAGACCTTGTGTTGGATGGGGATGAATCTTGTGTCAAGTTAATGAGTGTTTCCATTGATGGAAAGGAACTGGAAAAGGGAAAAGAATATGACTTGGAACCGCAAAAAATGATCATCAAGTCTCCTGCCCCTGGAACTGTTTTGAAAACTGTGGTAGAAATCGTACCAGAAGAAAACACTCAGCTTTCTGGACTCTACAAGAGTGGGCCCATGTACTGCTCTCAGGTGAGATGATAATGATGTTTATCATGTTTCTTTCGCCTCTTGCTGGTCTTGTCTTGTTGGAGCTTGTCTCAACCAATTTTTTCTCACCAACCAACCAACCTAACAATATCGCAGTGTGAAGCCATGGGCTTTAGGAGAATCACATACTACCCAGATAGACCCGATAACATGGCAGTCTTTGAGAATATTCGACTTGAAGCTGACGAAAAGGACTACCCTGTACTATTGTCGAATGGAAACCTTGTCGACTCGGGCAAGCTAGAGAATGGTCGTCATTTTGCTTCCTGGTCCGATCCTTTCCCAAAGCCTTCCTATCTATTTGCCGCAGTGGTAGGAAACCTGGGATACATTGAAGACACGTATACGACCACGTCGGGCAGAGAGGTCAAGTTGGGAGTCTACTCGGAAAAGGAAAACGTCGACAAGTTGCATTATGCTATGGACAGTTTGAAACGATCCATGAAATGGGATGAAGATAAGTTTGGATTGGAATACGATTTGGATTTGTACAATATTGTGGCGGTGGAATCTTTCAACATGGGAGTAAGTGCCTGGCTTGAATGCTGTTTGAATGGGGCTCTTTCGGCATGCAATGTAGCCTGACCCTTGGCACGCCCCTGTGGACTGTGTTTCTCCCTGCAGGCCATGGAGAACAAGGGTCTGAATGTGTTCAATACAGCTTATGTTCTGGCAGATAAGGACACAGCTTCAGATGCAGACTTTGAGCGCGTTGAAGGGGTGGTACGTTACATGGTATTGATATGATGATTCTTCTCGGCAAGAAGCCATGTTGTCTAACGTTTCCAATGATGACGATGAAAACCAGATTGGCCACGAATACTTTCATAACTGGACAGGCAATCGTGTGACTTGTCGAGATTGGTTCCAGCTGACTTTGAAAGAGGGACTTACAGTGTTCCGCGACCAGGAGTTCAGCGGGGACATGAACTCCAATGCTGTCAAGCGCATCGAGGATGTTCGTATGGTTCGAGCTAGACAATTCGCCGAAGATGCTGGCCCCATGGCCCACCCAATCCGACCTGAATCCTACATCTCCATGGATAACTTCTACACAGCGACAGTTTATGTCAAAGGAGCTGAGGTTATTCGCATGTACAACACTCTTCTTGGCACTGAAGGATTTCGCAAGGGCATGGACCTCTACTTTGAACGCCACGATGGAACCGGTGTCACCTGTGATGACTTCTTACAAGCAATGGCGGATGCCAATGATGTCGATTTGAGTCAGTTTTCACTGTGGTACTCGACTCCTGGAACACCTACCGTCAAGTACTCGTCCGCGTATGATGCTTCCACGGGTGTCTTCTCCCTCACTCTCGAACAGGAAAGCAAGAGTGACAAACCCCTGCACATTCCTGTTTCGGTTGGGCTCATGGACAAAGAATCAGGCGAAGAAGTGGTGCCTACAACCGTACTCGATCTTAAGGAGAGCAAACAAACCTTCGAATTCAATGTCAAAGGCGATGTTGTCCCGTCGATTCTTAGAGATTTCTCGGCTCCTGTGAAACTGATGCCAGATTCGGGCGCAGTGGATGAGGAGGCCTTGGCGTTCCTTGCAGCAGAAGATACAGACGGCTTCAACAGATGGGAAGCAGGCCAACGGCTGTACACGTCCTCGATCTTCCAAAACATGAACGGCAAAGAGTCAGAGAAAACACTTCAATACGTATTTGATGCTTTCGAGAGAACACTAAAGGGCGAAAAGCTCGATGACTATTCAATTCAAGCCTACGCCCTGCTATTGCCAACCGAAGCAACACTGTCAGAAGAAATGGAAATCATTGATCCAACAGCAATCCACAAGGCTCGCGGAGCCGTCAAGCAAAAGATTGCTCGCAAGTTCCAGAACGAGATTTCGGCAAAGTACGAGGAACTATCAGGCCTTGTTGAGGCCGACGGAGAACTGAGTGTTGACGCAAAGTCCATTGGATTAAGGCGCCTTCGCAATGTCATGCTGGAATACCTCTGCTCCATCAAGGAAACTCCGGAAGAACAGAAGGCTGCAGCTGAACTTGCGAAGAAGCACTTTGAAAATGCCTCTGGCATGACCGACAAGATGGCAGCTCTTTCAGCACTGGCATCCATGGAAGGCAAAGGCACCGAAGCCCGCGATTGGGCACTCCAAAAGTTCTATGATGATGCAGACGGATACAGTCTTGTCGTTGACAAATGGTTCTCAGTCCAAGCACTGGCAAATCTTCCTGATGTCTTGGATCGTGTCAAGAAACTCACTAAGCACCCAGACTTTACACTGGAAGTTCCGAACCGATGCCGTTCGTTGGTCAGTGTTTTCACGATGAACGCCCCTGCCTTCCACAATCCCAGCGGAGAAGGCTACAAGTTCATTGGAGAGCTCTTGGTCGAACTTGACAAACTGAATCCTCAAGTCAGCAGCAGACTTGCAAGCAGCCTCATCCGATGGCGTCGCTACGATGAGAAGCTTGGGGCGCTCATGAAGGCTGAACTTGAGAAACTGAAGGCAATGAAACCAATCAGCGAAGATCTGTACGAGATTGTGAGCAAAGCCTTGGACTAGCTAGATCGAACAAACAGTCCTCCATATGTTTCAAAAGCACAGCGAAAAGATAGTGTAAAGGACTCTAGATCCCAACAAATCACACACATTGAACCGTACTGAAAGCTAACCGAGCTCCTAGGAAACGGACTTCTGGTTTCTAGCTAGCTACCATCACGCATGATCTCTCGTTCCTTTGCATGTCCAATGCGTCAGTCTTTCATTTTTGTGAACTCGGTTGTGCTCTTTGCCTCTGCTATGGTTGTCGCTTCCTCTAACTCCTTCAACTTGTCACTCGTCTTTTTCTTCTTTCCGCAGCAGCAATCTCGTATCATCCGATAAAAGCAAGTAATGATAAGAAAACCTGCGAATGCCAAAATCACCATCGCTGTCACCATTGCTGAAGGGATGGGTATCTTTTCAAGCGGCGACGAGCCCTGGCCCGCTGTTACGGCCGTGATAAAAGTGAGCTCACAAACCCCTATCAGGGATTCCGGGTTATTGGCTTCCGAGTAGAAAGAGATCTCTGCATGTGCATCCCAGCCCGTTGCTACCCAAACTGCCTTAGAAGTTTCATCTGGAAGCGGATATCTACAACAAAGATGATAGAGAGAGATTATGAGTGACAGGAGCAATGTGAGATCATCTCGAAAAGTGGAAGTTTATGCCAAGTCAAATAGACGATTGTGCACAGATACGTACTGCAAGAAGAAGTTGTATGTTCCATCTTCTGGGCATTCAACTTCCTCGCCTCTATCGTCATCTCCGTAGCCTGTCGAGATGTAGTCACCGCAAATCGGAACTTGAAGGTATTGCAACATATCAATCAGTACCCCGACAAACATCATACTCGCAGAGGCAAATGCGTATCCATCTACCAATCCAGTATCTTCGATTCCTCTGTATTGTACTGTTTTGCCGTCAACAGAAACATCATTGGTGTGAGGTTGTTCCTCCTCAAAGATGCGCCCCAGTGACTTGAAGGAACTTACAACTTCCTGTGAGGGTTACTTCTTCTCCAAGGGTGCATTGTGGGGAACCATTGCAATCCATTTCAAGGTCACCACCGTTTATGTACATGGGAAGGGTTTCATTGCAGACGACGCCTTTCAGGATGATGTCAATCCCGGAAGCAAGCGAAAAACACAAGAAGAAAACGTAGAGCTGGATGAATCGAGGAATCATCAGAAGATCAATCGAAGTGACTGAAGTTTTAATTAATTGTGAGGTTGCGATTTGGGCTGGGGCATCATCAGGGAGTGGTGGCTTCTCGACAAATTCAGAGATGTTGGTGTTGGGATGCTCCTGCGAACGCTATGCTGTTGGTTGAGTAAAACAACGGCTTTGATTTTGGACCAACGGATGGCTTCACCCGGCGAAAAGCGCACCGTTTCCCTTTTAGCCAACGGAACGGCCATAATAAAGTAACGTCCATGAGGGACAATGAGAGAATGACAGACTGTCACTCGGAATGATGAGAACAGCGCACCTCAGCACCTCAGCCGAAAGAGCCCAAGGAACCAAACACTGCCGGAACATTCTCTAGCTAGCTCCCTGGTACCAGTACTCAGTGAGCACACCGGTACTGTGCCTGGTGGTAGCTTTTCAAAGTCGTTGATCACCTCCTGCAGCCTGCAGCTCTTCTTTGTTTGGCTTCGGTACGCGTAGTTGCTTGTCAAGACCTGATCTAGCTAGCTACCTGGTACTAGCTATCAGTAGAGTTCAAACCTTCAGTGGACCCCCTTCAGTCTGGCGATGCAACCACTCCCCGTACGACGAAACCTGGCTTGTACCGTTGCTACGTTCCGTGGCCTCCAAGTTTGCCTGAAACAAAAGAAGGTTGCAAGGCTGTAATAGACCCCGGGAGACCAAACACTTTGTTTGAGTGTGGCCATCCGTCCGTTGCTTCACGATTTTTGGTTACGTGTGGAGAGCATGGCCAACTGCAATATCTCTAAATGGCTTTGGCTGCCGACCAGGTTCCGCGACCGATTGCATTCATTCAGTCACAGCTCGGAATTTGGTGGCTTTGGTAACCTTCAGGACGAAGATTCCACAGCGTCATTCAAAATTGCTACATCACCGATCTCTCATTCATTATTGTTTCCTCGGTCCTTCTATCGGGTTGAGGCGGCCTCATCATTCATCTAGACTATCTCCTCTCGATTTGAATTAATTTGTGGTCCTTCATCCATTATCCGCGAGGAGCTAGCTAGCTAGTAGAAGTGACAAGTCAGACCATGAGCGCGCACACAATGCCGCAGGAGCCATCGGCATCTGCCAACGATGATGGAAACCAACCCTCAGGACCCAATGACTGTAGGGCAGACTCTGGCGAGGACAATCACAAGAGAGAAAATGGTGCCATTGGTCGTTTCTTCCCTCTGCATCCTCTTGCTGCTTTGGCCATTATGCCCCTGCTACCGACTTGGCTGTTTTTGAATCGAGGCTACACACAATGGTTCCACTGGTGCTTTGTCTTTTACATGGTCACAGGCGGAAAGCTGGAGTGGTGGAGACGTTTCCTCGTCATTCAAGGAGCTGAAATATCCATGGGGTGGTATGCTGCAGTGGTCTACGAGTATGTATGGCATTCTCGCTTTTGCCATATCCTCTACAACAACATGCCCCCATCCATGAAGGCCGAAATGCTCGTCAATGGCTCCATGGCCAGTGGAGGAATCATCACCAACAATCCGACTGCAATTGCCAATATTACCTTGTCGCATATTATTGATATTTTGGCGCATCCCCTCCTGACTTTTCTAGTCTACAAGATTCATCGGTCCAAGGGAGGAACGATTCGCAGTCTCATGCAATGGGATATCCTTGTATCAACCTACGCGCTCAGTCGCCTCTACAGTTGCACCCACCTATACCACAACCAAGGAAAGGTGGGGCTTTTCTATTATGGATATGAGGTTTACAACATCGACAATGTGAATGCCTACACACCCGCCTACATTGCAGAAGCGGGCTTTTACGTGGCGTTGATCTGCTATAAGTTGTATCATCAATGGAACATGCATCGTCTACGCCTCAAGATCCGTGTGACTGGCAGTGACAGGCGTCGCAGGAGATCCATGGAATTGCAGAAACTGTCCAAGAAGAGACTGTCGGAACGAAAGCCCCTGCTCATGCAAAGTAGTTCTTGCTTCTCAACCGACGGCAAGCAGTTGGACGACGATGACGATTTAGAAAGAACTTGTTGAAAGGTTACTAGTAGGAGGAAGCTATTGCATGCTCCACCCAAATACCCCGCTATGTGAATACAATCAATGAACTGAAATGAAATGTGCAATGCAGTGCAGTCTACAGCTCTTCGTGTCGGACACGTCCAAGTTTTGTCAGTGGTTTTAATAAATGGATATCAAATAATGGAGTTAGTGAAATCTACGTTTGCCAGTTACATTCAATGACATTGTATTTCCATTGCAGATGTGTGCCATGGCCAACCAGGCTGAAATGGGGACACAAGTTGTGTGTTTTCACTGCTCTACAAAACCAAGTGCATGGAAGGATCCTCTTGTGCTAGCTAGCTAGAAGAGTTGAGCCCAAGGAGGCAGCCATGCACTATCACATCATGATGGCAGCATGCCGCGCTGGTTTCTGCACTCCTACTAGCTACGCTGTAGCTACAGTAGGAGCAATATGTCATCGGGACTTTATGTACTAGAGCTGTTGCCATTGAAGGGCGTTTTCCGCAGAATGTCTAGCATGTCTTGCCTCTCACCATGTTACGGTGCCATCCCGCCCCAGTTGGGGGTTTGACCATTTCCAGTGTGGTTGGAAAGAAGAGCACAGGATCCAACCTGCTTATTACCGAGGAGGACTAGCCCTTCAAGGTTGTCTAGGTGTTGTTTTGTGTTGTACTCGTAATCGTCATCGGTCCTCGGTTGGTTGCCTGGCTGTGGTCGGTTGGTTGGTTGCCGTTGGTTGAAGGTAATCCTGAAGCCCGCGGCTCCACTGGCTATGGTGATCGTTGATCGTTGGTCGCTCCTTGGTTGGTTGGTTGGTTGGTTGGTTGGTTGCCTCACTGCCTCTTTGACCAACACAGGCGCTTCAAGCTTGAAGCCTTCCCTTCAACTGTTGGCTGGTTTGATGGGCATCCTGGGCGTTACCGTGGGTGGGTAAGTAGCAAAGCAACCCAAGGTGAAAGCAGAGAAGTGCGCTACGATTCGGCGCTTGATGGCTGTCTTTGACTGGAGGGCACCCCACTCTAGATCCCAACAAAAAAGAGCCGCTTCAATCCAGGCAGGCAATAGTTTGGCTTCTTTCCCTCTACCGCTTTCGTCAACCGGCCCTTCCACCGGCGAATCTGCCGTCTTTGGTCGTCCAATCTGGCCTTATGGTGGTCGTTTGCCTGTGTCTGCCGTCTTTCGTCGTCTAACCTGGCCTAGCTAGCTAGTCTGGGCATGCATGTGGTCGTCGTTCATACCAGTGTTGGACCGCCCTAACTATGTGGATGACATGGTGAGCTGCTGGGAGCTAAAAAGACGCGTTGCCCAACTTGGCTGGAGATGCCAATGGTACTTTTGGTTCCCCTCCCATTCACACTGTGTCTTTCTGCAATGATCGGTTTCCCTCCTGGAGGGCAGTTCTGTCTTCTATCCATCAGCAATGTAGCCCAGATGGGTTAATGCAAACTTGAAGCAGCACGGTCCTCAACATGCACGTCGCTGCAGCTGTCGCTACTTAGCCAGCACGCAACACCGCAGCAGACGAACCACGAACATGGTTGCTATCTCTAGCTAGTACCGGTTGAGGATGCCTGTAGGATATCATGCTAAAGGTAGTTTAAATTAAAAGTAGATCAAGATGATGCATGTATTCAAATTGCCATCGAACGATGGCTAACAGTGTGGAAGTTATTAGAAGAATGTTTTATTATCTATGCGGTGACTGGCCAGTTTGCAATCAAAATGCTTTCCTGTTGTCTCTTGGAGCGGCCAGTGATCATTCGTGTTATTCTCTTGGTTCCCTTCTTGGCTCTGTATGAAAGTCCCTTCATGCCCTTTTTGGAGGTAAATGAGGAGTCCGAGTGGGTGCTTGTGGACGACAAGTCTGTCCGAGTGGTGGTGACAGTGAGGTCGTCGTCGTCGTAATCTCGCTCCTCGTCTAGTAGTAGCACTACTGGTAGCATCTCTTCTTGGACGACCTTGGCATCGGCAATGGCGATTCTGCGTGCAAAATGACGCGACGGCCTCGAGTGCTCTACCGACAAGTCGCGCAGCTCCGACTCGATCTCCTCGATGGAACTGTTTTGCCTTCTCATGTACACGCCCAGGTCGACAACGGACTCGACACAGCGCAACTTGGTGTATCGACGTTCGTCCGCGTGTTTGGCCGAGATGAATCTTTCGATACCTCTGGGGACGCAGTCTTCCCCCAATGATACAAAGGAATCCAGTCTAGACTGAATGTGCTTGACGGGGTTTTGGTAAGACGCATCCAATAGAACATCGTAGCCCCTGCGTTGCCAAGTCTTTCCCAGTCGTTGGCACTTTTCCTTGTTCTTGTGGCACAGCTCTTTTGACAACCAGATGTCGCCCTTGGTGATCTCATCCAGTTCATACTCGAGTATTGCGGGGCCGGCATCGGAGAATTGCACACGGCGCGCTGGTGTTGATGTACTTGTAGGTTCTTCCGTCATGGTTCACGATTATTTGTTGTGGCTTCGCTGAAATAAAATAAGCAGTGGGCTTCACTCTTCGGATAGCTTGCTTGATAGCTTCACTTCGGTTTTAGTTTGATTTTTATGAGAGTGAAGAGGATGAGCGAAAACAAATAATTTCCCTCGAGCTTCCGAGTTTCGAGGCATCACAGACATCATCATCAGGAACAGACTAGAGTCTAGCCCATCCCAGTTTCCAGTGTGCCAGACGGGAGTGGGCGCCATCTATGGTAGCTATCGGTACTGAGTGGTACTACAATGGTACCGCTAATATCGTAAGAAGTACGGTACAACCTTCTTCTATAACTCCCCGTCTGATGCCAAAGAACAGTCACATGAAGTTGAATGAACCGGTATGCGAAGAGTTGTTGATAAAAAGGTACGAGTAAAGGTGTGAGTAGGACAGTAGGACACAAAGCCGAAGGGAAAAGAACGCTGGTTAGAGCATGAAAGTCATTCATTAAATTTTCTTCAATTTCGAGGTTCTGCTTTCTGCTGGCATTCAAGGCCTGATTAATAAGTTCAAGATTCACCGTCGTGTCATTGGTAAAAAATAGAGTTAATTGAATGAACATCAAAAAGACTGCAGATAAGCTAGGTATACCTAGTGATATAGAGGTACAGCTCCTCAGTAGTCAAACTGCAGCCGCTCACAAAGTCATCCGAGTTGCGAACTTGCGAACTGCGAACTCCGCTCACACCTTGAAGAAAAATTACATTTTTTGAAGTGTTCCGATGGCGACAACAACAGGTCTGTTTCGACTCGACTCGACTCGACTCGTCACTCCTTTCTCGCACTTTTTTGTCTTCCTCACCACGACCAGTTCCCATACTAGTACTTGGTTCGCTGCTGGACAAGTTGATCTCTGGTGTGGGGATGGTGTAGTTAATGACTGCATGGACAAAAGCGAATGCCTCGCCAGGTGAGAGTTACCAATCCGAAGTGGTCGTCCTCAGTAATAATACCGGGCTTCTTGTCCTTGTCGTGGCTTGGTTGTTCTTCCGATGCCGCAACACTCCGGACCTCTCCTGTTGACGTTGAAGAACGCTGCGGGAGGAGTGGATTCTCCAGTTTCGATGCCATTGTCACTCAGAGTTCTTTTCGTCTTTCCATCACAGGCCAGCAGCAGGTAGCTACTAGCGAGTACTGTAGTTACCGATAGCCAAGATGACACTGCATGGCACTTTTCCACGTTTGCTTGTATGTTGAGGTGCTGAAAGCGAAGCGCAAGAGAGGATGAGATGTCGTTTTGCATGCACTACCTATAGGACTGGTTGAACCACATGAAGGCTGCAGGCAACCTGGCTAGCCCTTCCAAGAGGCAGTTCCAAGAGACGTCGCTACCTAGCCAGACAAAACTTTGAATGGCACGACAGGAATGGGCTTTTCGCTTTGAGCAACCATTGAACTCCAAAGACGAGGCAAGGAGCTTTTCGCTTTCGATCATGTCTCTCTTCAACCGGCGAAACGAACTCTGCCACTGGTGCTTTATGGGATCATGAGCTATCATATGAGCTATCATGACTAAAGATTCTTGGGTTTTTCCCATTCCTGCCTTCGGAAAAGGCGCAGCTTTTGTTGGTGAGAGTGACAGGCATGAAAAAGTTCGAGCCACAGGCGGCCCTTCTGCTACTGATTTGAAGATGGAAAGATATCTAGCTAGTAATAACTTTAGTGAGCCGACCAGCCACAACGACAGTGTATGCATTGGAGTTTCTTTTGAGATTTGTTCCTTTCGATCTGCGGTAACTAAGCAGTACGGTAGCCTAACAGCCTCTAAGCAAGTATCCCTCACTGCAGCTACCGGTACGGTATGCATCCAGTCAGTCCTCATGAGAAACTTGTAATAACGACGTCAACCAGCGGTATCGGCCGGTACCGCTGCCATCCCGTACTGCAGTTGCGCCCGCTTCCATCACGCCTACAGTAGTGACAAGCACCCAGCCAGCCAAGAGGAATTGTGTCCAAGAGCCTCCTGTCACCTGCACCCAGCGAAGTGATGCTTTGGGCCTGCCTTGACCCCCTGCCAAGTCGAGTGGCGCATGAAGAACGTTTTATCGGAGCAACTAGCTCTAAGCGAAAGACCTGCCCTTGGGGTCGAGCGATTTGTGGAAAGGAGGTTTAGCGGATCTGTTACTAGAAGTCTATAGAATCATCTGATTCTATAGAATGGAAAAAAAATCTGTAGAATGGTCTGATTCTATAGAATACTTGAGGGAGGTATACTAGAATTCTATAGAATCAGATCAATCTATAGAATCGAATCAAAATACATTAGAATCTGTAGAAATCTTATTCCATAGAATAAAATGTGTGATTCTATAGAATCAATCCTATTTTCCTACTGATTCTATAGAATCAATTTTATTTTTTACTTGATTCTATAGAATCATATTCTTTTTTTCTGATTCTATAGAATAAACATGAAAAATCTGTAGAACGGTGTTGTCACATGTACCGGGTATGTTGCTCCCTGTTGTTGCCATTCGTTCAATGACTCGACGACATCAGGCTGCTGATAGGGCTGGAGAGCCAACAGAGCCGTCTCCATCAATCATTTCTCCTCTCTTCTTGTTATCAGGAGGATCTCTAATCTGTGTGTGTTGTGGTGTAGCCTCCTCTGGTTGATTGTTGCCTTTCAATGACTCGACGACTCTTTTGATCAGACTGAAGCTAGCTAGGGCTGGAGGCTGGAGTAAACAGAGGAGCGATCGATCGAAAAGGGTAGCGACATCGCTATTTCCTGGGCCATCAGCAGTAAGAGAATAGAAAGGCTTGATATTACCGTCAGAGGTGCTCTTCCAACTCACCTGTTGATGGCTGAGAGTTGACTGCCTTCCCGCGGTCCATAGAAATTCAATGAGGAATGGCTTTCCGATCTGCACCTTCAATAACGCTCTTGATAATAGGCTTACTTGGCTTACTTCGTACGGCACCAGTCGTTCGATTGATCAATTCAACACACTGTCGTTGGCCAAGCTTGGATTTCTCTCCTGTTTACCATATAGATGAATTCAATGAGGGAGAGAAGTTAATGCCCCGCCTTCAAGAACACACTGGATAATAGACTTACCTAATTGCAATAGTAGTAGTATTAGCGATGAGCTGTCACTCGACACCATGTGTTGACACCTTGTGTTAATGCTGTTGTTGTTTGTTGCTCTTGCTGTTGCCGTGCTGTGACGTTTCTGTGCCCTTCCCATTCTATAGAATGGAAACCGCTGATTCTATAGAAAGGTATGAGATTCTATGGAATGGCCAATTCCACAGACTTCTAGCATCAGATCCACCACAGACCCGCTAAGAAGACCAGCAAACCGGAACCGCCCATCATGAGGTTCGATCGAGGAAGGGGGGAGACAACCAAGACCGTTCACTTGCTACCGTACATACCTCTGGTTGCTCACCTGGGTACGGGTACCACTACCGTATGGAAGGATCTTTTTGCTATTGGATCCGGTGATGGCTCCTGAAAGCTGAAAGCATGGAGGTGTGGGATGTCCCTTTTCTAGCCAAGGAACCGAAGCAATCCATCCTGTTCCTCAGGCAACGTACACGTGGGCTGCATCGTAACGAGCTTTGGGGTCGAACGGTACCGGTCAGGCAGTTAATCAAGGTCTTTTTTGCCTGCGTCTTTACGGTAGTCTCTCGTTTGACTTGTCGACCCTCCTACCAGTATTTCTTCACAATCAATCCAAGCTAGCTAGGTAGATCTACTAGTCTACTTTGTAGAATTATCGTCAGTGGGAGTGCTGGCACTGTGAGAGGAACTGTTCACGACGATGACCGGTACAGCACATGTAATTCGATTAAATTTCGTCTCCATAGAGACGACTTGTTTTGGGGTTTGGGGGTGGGGTGCTCCTTTAGGCACGCGCGCTACTCTAGGAAATTGTATTGGAATTAGATAATGCCACGACATGGTTGACACCGTGTTGAGCAGCAACACGCCTGGGGAACCCCCCCCCCGTCCGAGTTCCCACGCCCCGCAGCGTGGAAACTTGAACCCTGATGGGTTCTCGCAACCATGACCCTAATCCTGGTTGCCGAGAGGACCATCTCACAATTTGCAAAATTAGTTCCCGCGCTCCTCACCTACAACTCAAGTACATCTCTACATCTCGCAGGTCATCACCTGCGTTCCGGAAACGGATACCCCACATGATGATGCACCGCATCAGCTCCTCAATGCCTCTCGAACAAGATTACCCTTAAGGCAACGACGCCCGTCCAAGACCACATTTGGCAAGATCGACAGCGGCAACCATGAATTACTAAAGCCAGCGACCTAGCCAAGATCAGCCATTGAACTGCCGATCGCAAGAAGGTTGTCTCTCTCTCAGCTCACAATTCTTCATTCAGCCGACGCTGAAGGCAAGAACCTAGATTAGATTGTTGCACGACTCAGGGCTGTCCCGTGGAACATCACATTCCCGGACTCCCCTTTGCCGTGTGGATCCATCCGGGACTCCCCAGTCCCGAATGGTACCCCGGGGACTGGAGACGGTCGGCTCAGTAAATGGCCGAGTCTCTCCACTCACCTAATCCTCTACTAGTCGTGTCTAGCTGCTCTGGGCGAGCGCAGCTTGTCTGCGCTCGAACGGATGCCGATACACATGGGGATTTATGCCACCAACGTCTAATTATAACTGTCTTTTACCACTTCGTTCCAGACTATAAGATGTAAACGTTAACCCTTTTTTGAATGTCAGAGTTGGCGAGTTAGTCCCTATGCTATCCTGTAGGAGTAAATGTTAACCCTTTTTGAATTTAAAAATAGCGCGTTAATTACTATTGCCCTCACGAGCGAGCATCATATAGTAATCCTGTTCACTTATTGCTTCAAGTGTGCACTACGCTAAAAGCTAGTGTAAAGATCTTTCGAGTGTTTTGTGTTTGAGAGAATGAAAGTTATGAGAGAGATTAGAAAGCTATGAAAACTAATCAACGAGAGAGATCACCATCAAAGGATCGTAGATCTGGTCTCCCGCGGGAGACTATAAAGTGTGATAGAGTAGGTTGCGGTAGTAATCCTACGTATCTCCACGATCCTAAAACGAACGCGTGGAAGATTCGTTAGCATGGATCTAGTAGCGTGGAAGTACTCCACGCTGGCTAAATATTAGAGCGATGTTTTCATCATCAACCTAGTAATACTAGAGCGGTCATTGAGAACCCTGTCTCAATAACTATTCACGAGAGACTCAGTCATGAGTCGAACTCAAACCCTATCTAGGATCGAGTCGCGAATAAGGCTAAGAGCCGTGATTGCATTCGCCCCCTGACAAGGGTCACAGAAGGCACGACATCAGTCGGACAAGGAGAACATATGAATTAAAGTGCGGGGCACTCTCCGGAGATTGGATGTAGACATGTGCGTCGCACGATGGCAATCCTACAAGGGGATCAGGCCTTGTATGGTGTAAATACCTTATGTTCCAAGTCTGGTAGACTGTGCCGCCATTGGCGGTAGCATGTCGGAGCCGTACATGCCATTGTTATTTACTCGGTCTTATTGTAAGGACTTTGTACTTTGGCTGACCGTACTTGCGGTGCTGATACTGTTGAAACTCACAGTATCGTTGACATTGTATTGATGAGGGACGACGCCGCGTTTTCCTTATCATTGTTTTCTGGATGAGTCGTTGGCGACGTTCTTTGATGTGTTTCCAGTTTACTTCGAAACGGACGTTGTGAATCGCGTCACGATTAACACGTGTGGTAATGAACTTGCGACAAGTCCATATTCATCCCGGAGAGTCTTCTCGACTTCTGCGCGGAACTCACGTTCTCTATCCATGATAACCTCAGCAGGCCATGGATACTGGGTGAGCCACGTCTGTTTCTAGAACGATGGCTACTTCGTCTGCTGCATTGGAGCAGATCTCGGCAATCCGAACCATTCGTTACGGGATCAATCATTGTCAAGCAATGAAATGGACAGGGATTCCTTTTCTTGGGATCCCGACGTTGTATGTACATGTGATCGTCTGATCCATATGTCTCGATAGTAGTTCACTAGTCCAATGAATCTACCAAGTTTTCTTCCTGTTCGTAGGAGGAGCGATATTTGGATCGCATCTATTTTCTTGGTTAGGGTTGGATTCCTTCTCAAGTAATCCAGTAGCCTAGATATGCAAGTTCTCTTCTTTCGAAAAAGGACTTGGTAGCATTGATCTTAAGTCCGGCTTCTCGAAGCCTTTAGGAGAACTTCATCTAACTATTCAACGTGATCCACTAGATCGCCGTTAGGTAGGATGAGTTGATCATCAATGTATGCACGGACATTTTCCAAGTCGTGCATGAGTTTCCCATCTTCCTTTGGAAGATGTCGGGACTATTGCATAGGCCCACGGTACTCGCGTCACTTCGATTTCCTGAATTCGTCTGATTCAGTAGCTGTCTTGTATCCTTGGGACGGACCAAGGTTTTTGTTTTTTTTTTCATTCCCGGACGTCAGAGATGATCCGTATAGATCCATTCTTTTTGGGAATGATAAATGTTGGTGCCGCCACTTGGAACGGTTTACCTTCTTTAAGTGCTCCTGCGTCGCAGAGACGTTCGAACTCTGTCTTAAGAGTGTTGGTATGGACACGTGGAGTAGGATAAGCCCTAGCGTGATAGGGTTTAGCGTCAGGACGAAGTTCTAACTTCGTAGTCGTCCATTTTGTCGCTTTCCTAAAGTACCGTCGAATTGGTCGGAGCACTTGGTCAATAAGGCATGAAGCGGTTCCTGCTCTTCCTTATTTACCGGGTTTGACTCTGGCA